CTGCATGCTGTTGGAACCCAAGTTTTTATTTTTCGTTTGTGGTTTTTAGTGGTCGAAGGTTGCAGTACTAGACTACTGCCTATGTGTATAAATACATGCACCTTTGTTAAAATTTTTCTTCAAATTATTCTCTTAAGCGTTGGTGCTGCTGTAACAAGTGAATTTCCCCAATGTGGGACCAATAAAGTTTATTCTATTCTACCAGTTTGGTTTAGTTTTGTTTCAGAAACATCGCCACGGTAACAGATATTACCCATAATGTCTTGTGACCCGTTTATATTTCGAGCCTTTCTTAACCAGGTAAAGGTTCGAGGACACGTTCTCACTTACAAATATGACCTGGTCGAGATACAAAGGCCAAATTGGAAAGTTCTTCATCAGTAACTGGAGAATGACTGCAAGAGTGCACATGCTGCAGGAATACCAACTACTGGATGTAACTGAGAGGGATCTAGCAGCAGTCAACACAACCAGGTGATGGTTGTGACTTTAGGGGTGTTTTGTGGATTAGGGTTAGGGTGTGTTCCAGTCGTATGCTGCTGCAGTCAATGACAGAAGAGCTTGGAGACGACCTTAAAGAGCAAGTAACCCCCAAATCAACTTTTTTTGCTGATGAACTATATAAACGAGTGTCTAACTGTGCTGCAGACACGTGTATTCAATAATTCGGCACTTCAGTGCATCTTAGTTAAAATTTAAATACTCTGCCTAAAACTGTCAGTGTTGCGCCGTCACCAGGGGAAAATTCTGCACTGTATTTGAATTTAAATCTGCCACCGCTATTGGCTAAGAGGTATGCTATGATGTTAGCTGGTACATTATGATGTCACAATGTTGTTGTGAGCCTGTGTGTGTGTATTTGTTCGCGGCTCCGCCCTCTCGGTCTGCCAGGCAATAGCATTTGTTGCATTTTTTAAACATGAAGTGGGAGTGAAGTAAGTTTCTTGTAGGGGGTGACTTGCTCTTTATTGTGTTCAGCAGACCTAGTTATAGACAACAAACGCTGCCAATAAGTAATATGACGTCTGTATGAACGTGATTTCTAAATGCAACACGTTTGCATGCAGGTTCTAATTTCTATTCTCAGATCATACATGGATTTTTAAGGGGCGGGGCTGTGTGTGTGTGTGCAAGGGGCTTGTGTTTTCAATTAAACATCTTGGCATCTCAACAGCTGCACTGCCAGTCTCCCATGTCTCAAACACACTCACACCACCAGGGCAGAGTTGGCACATTTTCTTTGTCGGCTTTCTGTCCGACGCTCCCCAGGTGTCGAGCTACCTGCCTTGCCTACGATGGCTGGCGGGCGCTTTCTTGTTGCACAGGTAGTTGGTCAGTGTGGGTGGGTCCCACTTCCAGCTGGTTTATCTGTTGGAAAGCAGGTGGGACTCCTACCAGGACCTGGTGGTCCAACTTTTCATATGCGAGACGATCCCCACCGTGACCTGAACTGGTTCCTGTTCGGGTAGACCGCTCCGACCAGCTCTTAGATTATGTTATGTTAGGCCTTCTTCTTCAAGATGCTTCCCCAGCGTTGTTCAATCTCAGCTCTTGGTTGGTCCTCCTGGTTTCCACTTCTCTAATGGGAGCGGTCAAACGTCCGCATTAAGACTTCCCAGATGGGGGACCATGATTCTTGTGGCCTGTAGAAGGTAATTACTGGATGGACATCTACAAAAGAGTATTTCTGAGCTCAATTCAAGATGGCCGCCACAACCAACAGAACTAGGGCCTTTTGACATGTTAGCAACAGTGTTTTGCATGGGAATCAACAGAAGACACTAGACTCTGCTTCAAGTTACAATTCAGATTTAAACAGAAATTTCTCAACATAACTTAGAATAAAATAACATGAAATGAAAACAGGAGGCAAACAGACGCTCGTCTGATTTGGAACCAACTTTCCCAGAGAAAAGGCATTTTAATCAGAGTGTAAAAAACAGGACAAACAAAACCCCAACAGTAAACACGCCACGTTGTAAATCCCAAACGCCGGGGACAAACTGCCTTTGTTACACCACCGACGCAAAAAGTAAAACATTTCCATAAAGTCAAAGTTTGGCTCATTTAAACACATTCAGACAAAGTCACAGCTCACGTTGCCCCGGAACGTTTAGCTTCTTAAGCTTCACCCTTCACACATTGGTCTGTTAAACGTGTGTGTGTGAATTCAGTTCTGCCCCAAAAGCTCAGATGTATTTATTGAGCAGGTGATTGTTTACTTTTTCTGGTTGGAATTTTAAATGAAGCACAACAAAGTGAAGCAGCTTCTCTCTCGTAGAGGACCGACAGCATCACGATGTCTGGCGTTTTACTCAGGAGGTCCGGTTCCTGACGGGGAGGAGAGGAGCTGCAGCTCTTCAGTCTGGACACTCACCAGGTTAAAACAAACATCTGGTCAGATGTGTCCCAATTAGAGCTGTAAATCTGATTTCTGCATTTGCACATAAAACGTTCAGAGTGAAACTGAAGCCGCGGTAGTGAATGAGTTGCTTTTGGAAACAAATAAATAAGATTTATTAGAGCAGCAGAAATGTGATCCCAGTAACCGTCTCCCATAATAGACTGGTTAAAGCAACAGAGACAGGAAGAGTTTCTGGAAAACAAGAAACTCAGATGAGATTAATAATCAGATTAAGAAATTAATCTGAAAGCTCCTCCTCTGGAGTGCAAATCTTAATTTCTAAACTTCTAATGGATTTCCTCCCTTCAACATGGAACAGAGCCACCCTTAGGCCAATTATTATGGAGCATCACCAAAGCACCAAGAACTGGTCATCGGGTTTCACTAAGGTGCGGATACGAGCGATTATCAGCAGGAAACATCCGTCCAGCTCAGATTCATGGTGACTGACGGGGCGACCGGGCTGCAGAAGACCCAGACTGAAGGGGTTTTTAGCCATTTGGATCAATTTTTGTGTCAAAGTAATTAAAACGGCATTTAGTCTGAGTTTGGTTGCATTCGGACTAGCCGTTAGCTCATCAGTACTGAGAAGTTTATTTCTACAAACGGAGGCTGTTCAGGAAGCCCTCGACTACAGAAGAGGATTCATTTAAAAACTAACCCAACAAGCAGGAAGTTGCCGCAACGCCGTCCATGTGTTCCAGCAAAGCTCCGACGGTTTGGCGGAACGAGATATCAGCGGCTGTAAACAGGTAGCCACAGCGATTAAAGCTCAAAAACAACAATCAGCAAGTTCTGGAGCCTTCACTGTATCCGGCTCACGGCGTCCCACAGAAGTGAGAGAAGAAGAAGATAAGGTGGGTTTGATGAGATGAAGGACTGGAAATGTCCTCCTCGGCTCACTCCAGCGTCTTTAGGATCTGCAGCTCGAGGTTTCAAGTATCACATCAGAGGTGACTCATACGCAGGAATCTGCTGAGTAACAGTTCACTGAGGCACGACTCAGCAACCACACCAGAGCCGAGAGCAGTCGGTCACGACGATGGAGACGATGGCTCAGAGCCGTACGGAGGTCAGCAGGATGCCCATTAACGTCTCTGCTCCATCGGCCTGACAGAGTGGTCCAGATGGTCACAGGTCAGAGGCCTCCGAGGGTCCGTTCATCTGAGGAGGACAGAGACAGCATTCAAGTTCGTCGTAAAGTTTAATGTTGAAACATCAAGAAAATGATTTAGAGAATAAAAAGATGAACCCTAAAACACCCACGGGTGTTCCAGCCTGGTCCTCCACATGTTCCTCTGCTTCAGCACACCTGATTTCATTAACAGAGCTTCTGCTGAATTTAACCCATGAATCGGTGTGTAGGAGCAGGAAAACAACTAAAACCTGCAGGATGGAGGTTTTAGATTACTCAGCAAAGGCGTTTCTAGCCCATTTTAGGGGTGTTGAAGCACCCCTAAATTCAACCCTAGCACCCCTTAAGTTTGACATTTTTTAAATTATCTATTTACTTTTACTGATTGTGGCGATTTTAGTGATATCTAAAAAAAAAAACATACAATTGGTCAAAATTCTATGTTTTAAAAACAAAAATATGGTTTGATCCTGCTCACCTCTCCAGACTCGATCTGAGGCTTCCTGAGGGGCTGCTATGCTGCTTTAGGGTGACCAGTGGGCTCACGCATGGCTCTGAGCCAGTGGACAGTCCTGAATCTACATTATTGTTCTACGGTTCTGCTAACTGAGACACAGTCCGGCATTTTTAACCGTCTCCCATTTCGTCCCCCCCCCCCCCATGTCCTGTCTGGCTGTGAAGCAAACAGAATTAATGTCTGAATGCTGGTGACAAGCCTTACAGATTTACTCTGGGGGAGCATCAAAGCTTCTGCTTTAATGTCACGCCTGATCCTTAAAACTTTATTGTTATTGTTTTGGAATGTTTTTTAATTACGACCAGACATGGAGACAGAGGTGAAAGAGAAAGGAAGAGACAAAAGGTGGGGGGTTTCCCACAAAAATAAACAATAATAAACAAGTCTGCTTCTAGACCTGCAGAAAGAGAAAGAAGAGAAAAAATGGGACACAACAATACAACAAGATCAAGCTATCACTGCGTCAACTTGATGTAGAAATATAAAATCAACATTGTTTAACTGAACAATCACACGATAATAAATCACAGTGCGCGTGTGGCAACGACAGCCTTAGGACGTGTGTTGAACGTGCCCAAGTCCATACTTATGAGAGCACCATGTGAGCACCTGTGTGTGTACACGCGCTTGTATATGTAAGGTTTCTCTATAGGAGCGTCCAATAGAGAGTGTGAGGGGCCACAGATCTGCCCCTAAAGATGTGCAGGAGACGGAGGGAGCTCCAAGTCCCAGAGATCCAGGCGCTGCCCCAGAGCACAGGAACCCCAAGGAGACTGCAACGAGAAAGGCCCCCGCCCCCCTCGAGAGGTGCAGAGGATCGTCCCGGGGGGCCACAACCAACAGCCGGCAGAGTCCCGGGAGATATCAGCGGCAAGCCCACAGGCCCGCCCCGCAGCCTCCCACCCCCTAGCCGGCCGAGCCCGGGACCCAGGGGCCCCATTTAGTCTTTGAATCTCGTATAAACTGATTGTGAGGCAAAACAAAAAACAAAAACAAACAAAAAAAAAACAGCTGTCAATCAAGCTAGGAGGCGGGGCTTTGCACCGCTCATGAACCTCCGAACCAAAAGTAAACGACAGAGTGATCCTGGACTAGTGGGAGATGAGCACGGTGGAGAAATGCTGTTACAATAAAGACTGAAGGGTTAAAGAGTGACTGAGATGGTTCAGTCATTTCTCTGTCACCGTGCTGCTCAACTTCCTCACTAATCAGACAGGCTGGTGCTAAAGAAAAAAAGTCAGAACATTAAGTTTAAATCTAACTTTTGTCAGAGATCAAAATCAGTGAATTTTGTTTTCTCTCCCCTAAATATCTACTGTATGAGATTAGTTGTCATTTTTGCAAAACCACCATTTTGATTTTGTTAGTTTCTAAAATCAAGAAGAAGAAAAAGAAAAAAAAAAGTTTGGATGTTTTTTCAAAGGGATGTTGATATTAGTGGAAAATTTGGCGAAAATAAGTATAATTCATCTAAAAATATCACTGGTAATTTTAGTGTTGTGGAAATTCGGACAAAGCGAAAAAAAATAGGCTTCAATTTCAAGCTTCCACATATTAAAGGACATTTCCAACCATGTTTTTCACTCATTGAGCATCCTTAATCTGCTCATATGTTAAAACAACCAGTCGTTCCCAACCTGGGGCCGGGGTCTCGGCACAGCATATTCAAGTGCCTCGTAATTTTTATCTTGAGAGGCACGAGTCAAGAGACAATTTCTTCTTCTACAACATGTTTTTGCTGAGATTGTGAGGTTACCACACAGCCAAGCGATGCTCAAGGACAGTAGATTGGGAACCACTGACCTAGGCTCTCTAAACCTGGACCAGATTCTGCTACAATGTTAACAATCTATATGTTTACCAGATTTTGCTGTGTAAACCCGTAATTTGATTAGTGAGAACAGTGTTTTTGTTTTCTTTCATAAATGTGAAAATGAAATAGTGTTTAAATTTTGAAATTTATCTTGCCTGACCAGGCAGATCTCCACACCCCTAAATCTCTGATGCTAGAATAGCCCGTTACCCAGAAAGACCCAACAAGAACCCACAGAAACTAAATAACATCATAAAAACCTGCTGTTAGCATACTCTTTAAGTTCTTTTTTAAGCACAGGAAAGTTGTTTTGAACCTTACTAACAGTTTCAATCACTCCTGCGATCTTATTCAGAGCTAGCCGCTAATGGCGGCGTCACTTCCTTCTCCGTTTATCCACGGGCAGCAGAGGACGGTGTTGCCCTCTGCTGCCCATGCTCTCCTCATCGATGACACAGTTCCATGCATGATCTAATGTGTAGACCCCATCGTCTCTGTTCATGGTTCCATGTCCTCGTCTCCGTAACTCCATGGCTTCTTTAATCCATCTTTTATATGTTTGTGGTTCGGTGTTTATGATCCTTGTGTTGTCCCAGTCCATTATATGGTTTTCTCTTGTGCAGTGATCTGTTACGGCCAACTTCTTTATTGTGCTTTCTGCTTCTTGTTTTGCTGCTCTTGTGTGTCCGACTTCTTTCCTTCTAACACTCCTTTCTATATTCTATTGTTCGTGTGTTGAGCTGGCGTCCGGTTTCTCCTGTGTGTGTTTTATTGCAGAGTTTACATTGGATTTAGTAAATGACTCCACACTTATGTGCTACTGATATCTTGTTTTTTGGGTGTACTAGTCTTTTTCTAACTGTTGTGTATGGTTTTGTTGGTGTGTTTATGTTGTTTTTTTTTCATTGTTGCTCTTATTTTTTCTGTTATGCCTTTAATGTATGGTAGGGTTATCACTGGTTTTGGGTCTTGTTTTTCTGGGTTTCTGGCTTTTTGTTTTGGTTGTTCTTTTCTGTTTGTCGTTTTCCTTCGTTTATTGTCCATGTCGGGCATCCACAGGTCTTTAAAGTGTTTTGTATTTGTTGGTCCTCTTGTTTACAGTTTAGTTCTTCTGTTATGTTTGCTCGGTGATATAATGTTCTGATCACTGACATTTTATGTATAGTAGGGTGTTCTGATGTCCATAATAAATATCGGTCTGTATGTGTTTATGTTCAGGGTCTCGTCTTTTTGTCTATTTATTCTCGTGTTCATGACTATTATGCTGCCTTCTGTTTCTTCCTCATATGTAAATTTTATGTTTGTGTTGTTGATATTGATCAGGTGTTCTGTTAGTGTCTCCGTTAGTACTTTTGGTATGATTTCCAGTATGTCGTTTACGTAGCGTTTCCATAATTTAATTTAGCTGTTTGGGGGGAGCAGTGGCTATGGCTTTTTGTTCTAGGTCTTCCATGAAAAACTCACACAGGGTGGCTGATTACGGGTCACCCATGGCGAAGCTTTCCAGTTGTTTGTATATTGTTCCGTCTTATGTGAAGTACGTGGAGTTAGCTATCAGTTTTATCAGTTGTGCTCTGTTTTCTCCTGTGAGGTTTGTTCTTTTGTGTAAAGTTTAGTCCCGTCTGATTCTGTTCACTACTATTTCGATGGTTATCTGGGTTGGTGTTTTTGTAATCAGAGATGTAACGTTGTCTTCTATTGTAATCTTAGTTCTTTTGCCAGTTCTGTGCTGTTTCTGCATTGTTGTTCTGTGTTGCCTAATAGTGGGCTGATGAATTAGCTGATTTCTTTTGCCATGTTGTATATTGGTGTACCTATGCTGTCTAATATTGATCTAAGTGAGGTGTTCTGTTTGCGTATTTTTGGAGTTCCATAGATACTTGGTATTATATTTGCTGTAGGGATCCAGTGTTTGTACATTTTTTCTGTTATTTTGCCTTTTTCTTGTAGTGGTTTTAGTAATTTTTTCATGTTTGTCTTGATATCTTCTGTTGGTCTTTTTTATTGTTTTGTATGTATTTTTGTCCTCTAGCATCTGTTCCATCTGTTGTTTGTGTTTTTCTTTGTCCATTACCACGGTGGTTCTTCCTTTGTCTGTCGGTAGAATAATGATGGAACAGTAGTGTTGTCATGGCTGTTCTTTCTTCTTTTGTAACATTACTGTGTTGTATTTTGCTGTTCTTTAATATCCCAACTACTTCTGCTTTCTTTCCCTCATCTGTGATGAAATACCTGCAAACTCTGCATTAAAACACACACACACAGGAGAAACTGGACACCAGCTCAACACACGAACAATAGAACATAGAAAGGAGTGTTAGAAAGAAACAAGCCAAAGACACACAAGAACAGCAAAACAAGAAGCAGAAAGCACAATAAAGAAGTCGGCCGTAACAGATCACTGCACAAGAGAAAACCATATAATGGACAGAGACAACACAAGGATCATAAAAACTGAACAACAGAAATACAAAAGATGGATTAAGGAAGCTATAGAAATACGGAGACAAGGGGTCTCGGCCAGCAGAGGGCGACACCGTCCTGCTGGCCGTGGAAAAACGGAGAAGGAAGTGACGCCGCCATTAGCGGCGAGCTCTGAAGAGGATCGCAGGAGTGATCAAAACTGTTAGCAAGAAAAAAAAAACATTTCCTGTGTTTAAAAAAAACACTTTAAAAGTGTTCAGAAGAATATTTTAATCTTTTATCTGTTTATGAAATTTTATCATTTTCTGACTTTATTTTTTCTGATGTTAATCTATTTTTGTTTTGAGATCATTATGATTTTATGACTTTGTTTTGACCTATGTGGAGCATTTTGTGATTCTATGTCTGTAATAAGTGCTATAGAAATAAAATGTACTTACTACTTACTTAAAAAACACAACATACTCTTCTGTGTTTAAAAACAAATCTAACTTTTAAAGCAGAAACCCACATTTTTGATAAACACATCTCCACATTGGTTTGTGTTTACAGAGCAGGTGGAAAGCTGTTACATAATAATGAACAGGTAAATTGTTTAGCTGGTTTGTTATAGGAAAACACGCCTGATTCAAGCTTTCAGCTACATTAATAACAGATGAGGGGAAGCGTAGCTTCGACCTACTGGAATGGAGCTGGAACCACTGGTGGAGAAATAAACTGGTTTCACTGAAACAGAATGCAGAGGATTTGTTTTCCTGGATAAAGAATGGAGAGTAGGTCTTTTCCTGGAAGTCTATCAGATCGCTGCTCTATGACACCTTTTATGTAACAGGGTCGGAGCTGAAACTGACGCAGAGATCATAAGAGGCTTAGCACCAGGGTGTTCACGATCACTTATGTGGTTTAAACCCAGCTCTGAGAGGAAAACAAGGATATGTGCAGCATAACAGAGATCTTTATTTACTTATTGGAGAAAAAAGCCAACATGGCAGCAGCTTAAAGATCTCACAAAACAACCACGAGTGTGTCCATGACAACAGGTTACCAGTCACATTAACCAGGTTCAGCCAACTCATCTGATCTTTGCAACAATGAGTGAAATGGCTGCATACCCTTGGATTTATTTTATCTGTCTGGCTCTGCTCATTAGAGCAGCGCCATTTTAATTCACCCAGATCTAATCCCAGCCTGAAACGGACTCAGACCCTCGGCTGGTTTGGGCGTCTGACCTGCAAACAGAAGGAAATCTGGTTGTAGAGACGTCGTCATGTCAACCATAAATGTGTCTGATGATTTTGGAGAAGAAAAAGACCGCCTCTCCACACCAGGTATCTAAAAAACATTTTCAATGATTATTTCTGATTATAATCGGCCACTGTGGGTTTTCATGCAGGCTGAACACGAGAATAGTCTCCTTCTCCTATCTCCTGTATTAGCTTCTGATAGAAAATTGGCTCCACTCTGCAAAGCCAGCCCCCCAGCCTGGCCAGGTTGATTACACACATCCTTAGGAATGCGGACGTGACTGAGCATATGGGCCGTCTCCAAAACTGGTGTGAAAAATTGGGGCAAATATATCAGTGATGTCATGTGCGCATCTCCGACGTGGGCGGAGCATAAAATGCGTGAAAACATATGTTGTGTCTCCCTTAACACAAACAATGATGGCCATGAGCAGTGTTGGTTTTATAGACTGTCATTGACATTGCTTCCTGCTCTGCTGTCTGTCCTGGTGCAGCTCAAGGCTGGCAGCGATGTGTGTGTGCGTGTGTGTGTGAGCTTTTCAGACAGAAGGCCTTAAGTCATAGGAGATGTTTACTCCACAGCATCCAGAATGATAAGGAAGCGTGCATGCGGGAAGCCCTGCTGGCTGATTCTATCCACCAATCGGAGGCTTCCCCTGATGGTATGCAGGAATTTGAGCCGGCCAATCAGTTGGCAGTGGGTGTGTTGGACCAGTTTAGCCTAAAGCAGACCGCCTTGGGAAGATGGCAGAAAAAATGACCGGTTGAAGCTAACTGTTGGTGTTAGCAACTCCACCACACAGCAGAACTCCTTCAGGCTTGTGTTATTTGTGGAGATAAAACGTCAACATTGCAGAGCAAACAGAGTTAGCGGTAGCGTTACGTTGCTGTTAGCCAATCTAGTTACAGAGTCTGTCTTTCCTGGGATCCCGTATCACCTTTTCTTATTCATTTTCTTTCTTCCTTCTAATTTTTTAAATGAAAAACGTTTCATTTCCCTTATTTGTTATTAGAATACTTAAAGAAAAAAACGTGTTATATTTTCTCATGATATAAAAGACCCGCGGTACTCAAAGCTTTCAGTCTGATCAGCTTTAACTTACATCTTTGTGATTTAGAGTGATGCTGATTCTTCATCTAGATGCCCAGGGAGACGGCCAATAAGAGGGTCTGAGGTAGGATGAAGTCTGTGTAGAGTCAACTGTGTAAAACTATGGGCATCAGCTGCTAGACCTCAAAGATGGGCTGGTCTAGTTTGCATGGTGCTGAAGCACCAACAGGCCTGGTTGGTGATAGTCGTGTTTAACAGCATTAACTTGTTGAGGTTGATCGTATGTAAATCATTTTAGACGAAGCTGGATACGAGTTTGGATGCTGCTGCTGCAAACTGGTACGGTTTTTAACACTTCCCATATTGTCCCGCACAAACATGCTCTTTGTCCCACATTCTGCTGGTTTGGATCAGGCCACCCCATCTACAGTCCAACATTTAGTTAGAAACATCACCACAAAGTCTGAAAAGAAAAGGAAAATAAACTCATGAAAGACTTCCACACGGCTCAGTGCACATGAACAAAGTTGGTAATCGTGTAGAACCTACGGTCAACTCCTTCTACATCCACGGATTACTCACTCTGGACTTGTAGCACCGCTCAAGAACGAACCGTGTCCTTGACATCATAAAGCTAATTGAGTTTGTCAGCTAACTGATTAATATGTGTCATTTTTCGAAAAGAACACATGTGCATGAAACAAACCCAGGAGCGATTGTTTCCGTCATCTCTGAGAAGTATCAGAGCGAGATGAAAGAGCTCAGAAAAGCCTGGAATCAAACACACATGGAGGTAAACACACAACAGAGTTCAGCACAAGAGGATCGCTGGTGAATTAGGTTTCTGTTAACACTGCAAGCTGAGTGGATGTGAGGCCATAGAGTCCACAACTCAAAACAAGGGCCTGTGTCTACCCTGAACATATACCGATGACTAGAAAGTAGGGGCTGCATGACTTAATATTTTGTTAAAGGCGACAGTAAAGTAATGAAAATCTAGTCAACTTTGACTAGTCGTTGATGACGTCATACACCTGAAGCGGGTTGGTTGGCTGGAGCTTTTAACAATTAAAATTGACTATGTGACTATTTTTCTGTCCTGTCTGTTTATTATCTTCCTGCATCTCCTCTCAATCCTAAAGAAAAACTGCTACCTGGCTTCATATTTATTAACCTTATGAGTTACCTTTGAACTGCAGTTCTAAAAGATCTACCGACCGCAAAAACAGCGGGGTGCTCGCCGGCCACACCAGTGAGGTGCGTCACCGAAGGACAAAACAGGTGATGCGCCCCGCTCCACGGCAGCGAAACGCATCAGGCACAAATAAAAGACAGAAAACATGAAAGGAAATGAGCCGACATAAACGATTGCGTGTTAAATTAGTTTTTGAGGTGGCGACACCTAATTTGATGTTACTGTGGCCGTGCTCAGGATGCAGATGTCTGGAGCGCTAGGGATGCAACGATACCACTTTTTTCCAAAACGATACGATACCGATACTTGTATCTGAGTACTCGCCGATACAGATTACCGATACCGATTCTTCTACCACACAAAAAAATGCAATGAATTGGAATACAGGTTTTATTTTCTTCTCTGTTTTCAATAGGAAAAGACTGAAGTAGATAAAAAATAAAATATGTTAATATAAATGATCACAAAACTAAAATGTACATGAACAGAAATGACAAGTTACAGTGAAGTCACTTTCAAGCAACTGCATTGGTATCGGTTACTGGTATCTGTTAACTTTTACCAATACTGGTATCGGTATCTGTATCGGTACTGGTATCGGTATGATGCCGATACAGATATCGATACCAGCATCGGTATCGATGCATCCCTATGGAGCGTGTCAATGATCAGAGCTTTGCATGCGCAAGCTGGTTAAGGTTAGGATGGGGGTGAGGGGAAGGTTAAATTGCAAGAGGGTAAAGGTCACAATTCAGTCAAATGTCCGTTTTACCGCGGGTGTCAGTACCGACGCTCTGGCACAACGCGTCGCCTCCCAACGAGCAGGGGATCATTACCTGCTGTCTTTTCGAGGACTGCATCTTGTCGGTCATTATCACATGACAGCGACTAGTTAATGACAGGCATTAAAAGTCACTACAGAGCAGTGAAGTCGACTAGTTGATACAACTCCTACTAGAAAGATACGAAGAAAGCTGCAGACACAATGAAATGTGATGACCCGCTGGCGGAAAACGTTAAACCTAAAGCTCCTGGTTTTCTCTAAAGATGAACCATGGTATTGTACTCAGACGTGTCTGCAGCACCCCGTCTCCAACATCTTCTAAAGATCTAAATCTGGTCTCTCTGCCCTTTACAAGAGAAGAGCAGGAGACCTGTGAGGTGGTCACAGGAAGCTGAGGATAATCTGTGGAGATGTTTTGAGGCTATGACTGGGATGCGCTCTGTGACTCGCCGAGTGTGTGTCTGACTATAAAAACCTCTGTGCAGACACCAGAACACCCCCAATAACAAACCCTGGGTCACCAGTGACCTGAAAACGCTGCTCAACAAGAAAAGAAGATCCTTCAGGGAGGGACAGACGATTAGAGAAGCACAACACCAGCAGATGTGTTCATGTCTGTGTTTATGCTGCCGCTCACCCGCGCATCGTACTCCAGGACAAACGGAGGAATGTCGATCTGTTCGGGTTTAATGCAGGTAAAAAGCTGATGCAGGTTCTCCAGGTAACGGACCTTCTCCTTCAAACCAGACACACTGAAGGTGGTGAAGAACCACGTGGAGACCTGGACAGTTTAGACAAGGTAGTGTGAGGCACACTCAGAGTATAACCAGCTCTTGAAGACAAACTGATCGCAATAAATCAACAAGGGTCTTCTTCTTCAGAGATCCTACCTTTGCACGAAACGTTGGATGTATGAAGTAGAAGGCCTTCAGATTCCTTTTATACCTGCAACACGTGAAACACCCCATCTCAGACAGGAACAGTGTGAACACCTACAGACCAGATGTAGTGGTTGGACCAGACACGGCTGGATATCTGAACTAAATCACACAGCATTCCCTCTGAACAGAGCGACTGCTCTCAGACTCAGACACCCGAACCCTCGCTGGGTAACGAGGTCCAAGACAGTTCTCACTCAGAATCTTCACTGTTTACAACCATCTGGTTCCATCAAGCATCCATCAGTCTGATGCATCACGAACTCCTAACTGGAGTCCAGCCCTTTACCCTTGGCTAAAACCTGACCTTGTTCATTTTCGCTTCATTGCTGCATCAAACCACATCAGCGGAGGTCTCAAACTGTTGAGCTGGCAGCTACTGTTGTGGGAGAAAACCACAGCTTGTTTAAAGAGGAGAGTTCCTGATTTGACAACATCAGATGAATCTCAGACCAACAAACCCGCCGTAGCTCCGTTATAACCTTTGGAAAACCTATGGAGCTCGGCTACTGATTCAGTAGGAGGTGGCCTGGATGAGGTGGAGTTCTTCTCTTAATGGAATACTAAACTATGGTGAAGTGGTAGAACTTGAACATTAAAGCGAGTCGCTAGACTTGAGCTTTGGTACAAAAGAGCTCATAAGTCTGCTGAAGAACCAGGGACATGTCCAAACTCGGCTGGAGACGTTTGGACATCTGTTGGCCTGCTTGGGTGGAGCCAGAATGTGTCTGCTGATGAGTTGTACCAAGGGCTGGGCAACAAATCCAAAATGTATTGTTATCAAAATTTCTGACTCTTATCGAGATGAATTATCCCATGTCGATAAATTTGATAATAAAAAAATGAAAAGATGAGTGAAGGTTGGAAACATTCATGTCCCTTTAAGGGAGGGGGTGCTCACTCCCCACCCCTGTCACGTGGACATCAAGGGATAAACCATCAACCCTGCTCGATGGTCAACTTTCCTGGTAGGGTCGCTCATGAGGACAGTGGGAGGGTGAAGCTTGGTTTATGCTTGACGCGTCCCCGAGGTTCGCACGGCTCTGCGCGGCAAAATTGCGTCATTTTAACAACCACGCCCCTCCACCGCGCCTCCGCACGGCCCAAACTTTCCGCACCGTGCACCTAGGAAATTTTCTAACCACGCGGGCACGGAAAAACATGGCGGACTGGAAAGAACTAGTATGGCGGAGGTTCGTAAATACAGACCTTTGTATGATTCAGCTCTCAAAGATCACCGTGATCAACATGTTGTTAATAATTCTTGGAGAGAAATAGCTCGCACTGTCGGAAAAGACGAGGACGCAGTTAAAAAATTCTGGAATGCCACGTTGTAAACAACAGTAATTTCTACTTCTACTATGGTGTAGTGTTGGATGCATGCCGTAGAGCTCCATGCTGCCCCCTACAGTTTGGGAGAATATTGGCTCACCACAGAGACGAGCCGCATGAACCATAAACGCTGCATGTTGTGATGCGCGTTCCAGCCGCGAGCCGCATCACCAAGCGGAAAATAAATGCGTCAAGCATAAACCAAGCTTTAGGAAGCTGCATCACCATGAGTCACGTAAATATGTGACGCAACCTAATACACATGACAGCCCCATCTAGTGGGCAACCTATGTTTCTGCGCATATCTGTAGTTATCGTCCATGTGTTGTTGTTGAGGTGAAATCCTCAACATATCATGATATTGATTTTAGGCCATATTGCCCAGCCCTAACCTGATATTCCAAATCAGGGTTTTTAAGGCTCAACACTAGCAAACAACCAACGTGTAGGAGACAAGTCTCTTCACATACAGCTGTGGGTGGTTTACATAAACTCATAGAGGGATAAATGCATTCAGTTCAATGCACCGGGGCCCGCTGACGGGCTTGCCAGGGCTGGGACAGGGCACTAGATGATATTAGAAACTGGGAAGAAAACAAATACGCCCATTTAGAAAAACCTGAAAAGGAACTTTTCTAAAGGTATTCCATATTTCAATGGGAGCGCAGAACCCTGGGCTCTTCCTCACTGTTAGGGGGTCAGTGCACACCTGTATGCAGATATTCACCTACATATTTTAATAGGTGATGCTGACGGTTTTGAAAAGTCGTAATTGTTCTTCAGTGACCATTATTGACTGCAGCTGGTGAGTTTTTCATACCAATACATAAAGAATCAGCTTAACATCACCTATTAGACTGACCAATACCCAGGAGGGTGACAAAAGGGACTCCGTATAGAGGAGGATGACATCATCACAATGGCAGACTGGAACACTAAGGGTGTTTGATACGGAGACACCTGCAGCCCAGGTAAGGCTGCCCAGGTGTGTACTACCTACATCAACAAAGCAGGTATTCTTTAACCCTCCCACTGTCCTATCGGGTGACCCCTCCAGGAGTGACGTGGTGCTCACACCTCACCCCTGCCACGTGGACCTCAAGGGAACAACCGTCAACCCTGCTCAAAGGTCACCTTTCCTGGAGGGGTCACCCGATTGGACAGTGGGAGGGCTAAATGCTAGAATAAATGACTTCAGCCTGAGGCTTTTGGTGAAGGGGAAACTGGTCTGATGGAGGAAGTCTGTAGCACCTACATGCTAACACAGCGAATGACTGATCGGGCTTCCCCAGTTCAGATGAAAGAGGAAGCTGAACGTGTTCGTTCATACGAGTGATGACTGGCTGAACTTCCACTCCGTCACCGAGCAGCAGCTCGAACCTGCAGGTGGCCGTCGCAACATCTGGCCTTAGAACCAGGAATTTTCCCAGCAATAAACCAGAAACCAACTGAATGAAGATTTAGAGAAGAACACGCTGGTTTGAAGAAGCACGATGACTGTGTGGAGTTTCCCCTCCATCACAGGATGCTGGTTTAGATCTGTTCCTAGAAACCACACGAGACCAGAACTAGAGACTTTCTCCCCAGTTTCCATTTATTAGCAGAAAAATTAATGAATGGGTTTAGATCTGTGCTTGGGTGAGAATTAAAACAACCTTTTTACAGACGTTATTGTCTTTTCTGCTTTATTATCCACATTTATAGCCACGAAACTACCTACAGACTGGACAACTACCACCATAATATCCATAATTATTCAAAACAACAAACTAAAATGGTTTAGTGGCTGAAATCTAAATCAGGAAGAGCTAAAGTTCCAACTGATGGACAACGATCGGTGGCTATGAAGGTTCTGGTCTCAGAACGGCCGTGAAGAACCAAGAGTCTAAAGGCATCAAAGCTGAGATCATGGCTGAAGGTCTGCTGTAAACAATTCCTTTTGTTTAAAGGATGTGATTTTTATTAAACTAAAAGTATTCATCAGAAACGAACCTCACAGGAAATGACTAACAGCTGATGTTGGAACAACACCGAAACAACATCTGCCGAGTAAATGATAAAACGATGCTGCGTACGAGGAGAAAAACGCCCTCCGGTTCCTCAGATTTAGCTCTATTCATCCCATATTTTAGGTTTTTCAGCAGATCCACAGATCTAGATCCAGGTCCGATCCCTGGACCACATCTCCCGGGATTGGATTAGCCAAAGAAGACACTTCAGGAACTAATCCTCATCTGTGGCGTCTACAGACAACTTCCAAAGCCGTTCTCTTAAGGTTCAAGCTTATAATAAATTCTGTTCATCTATTTCCTCACATAGGTTTTATGTTTTTTGATCATTATTTAAAAAATAACTTAAATCCATCTTCAGGTTTAATTTGAACCAATACTTCTTAATATTTATCTCAGCCTGACTGGAGGGGAACCGTAAAGCCTCTTCCAGGCCTCTCCAGATCTCATACAGATGTTTACCACTGGAATGCCTTTGGTGGTTTTAATAATGACTTTTTCTAAAACTATTTTAAACTCACCAAACAAGAAACCTGAGCAGATCAGGTCCTGTTCCAAAGCTAGAAGAGAAGTTGGTCTTCTACGTTCCATAAATTCAATTCAAGTTTCCTCATACTAAGCAAGCATTTAGCAACAGTGGAGAGGAAAACTCCCTTTTAACAGGAAGAAACCTCCAGAGGATCCTGGCTCAGTATAAGCAGCCATCCACCACGACTCACTGGGGATGGAGAAGACAGAGCACGCACGCACGCACGCACGCACACACACACACATGCACACACACACACACACACACACCAACATATATACCAAGTAGTGTTTCTATGGTTACATTGTGATTTCTTAGTAAAATAAAGTGGATTTCTTAAAGGTTTTCATTAGAAAAATGAATATTTAAAGAGCAAATTGCAAGTTAGAGACTCCCATGAACCAATGTTTAGAGAAACATTTTTTACACATGCATAAATTATTTAGGCTTTTAGAGCCATTTTTGTGAGAATTTTATTTTTTATTTTTTTGTCAAACCAAGTGACGTCAGCTGAGGGAGACAGATGCCTGTCATCCAGTTCTGGAGCTCACACGGGATTCTGTGAGCTGGATCTGACCCAGAAACCAGCTCGACTGGCTCGCCGAGCCGCGCGTCTCTTCTGGTGGTTGGTTCTGACCTGGTTCTGATGGTGATGACTGGATCACATGACCTCTCTACTCTAAAACTAGCCACTCTCCACACTGAGCTGAGGCAGCACCGAGCTTCTAACTCCCTTTGGTTACGTCAGAGGTTCACATTTAGAAACAAGAGAAAGGAACTTTTACTAGAAAACTCTGCTGTTTTGTATTTTAAAACGAAATATCCACAATAAGCTTTTCAAATAGTATTTTTGGACAGCATTTTATATGAATTAGAAAGAAAAAAAACTGTAATTTGCTCTACATCAGATCTAATGTACTCTAATATCAGACTGACTTGGAGTCGACGATGTCGTAGAGGTTCCTGAAGAAGTCGGAGTTCAGATGGTTGTGTTCTCCGGTCAGCGTGTGGAAGTAAACGATCACATACTCCTTCACCGTGATGTGATCCATCACATGGATGAAGTACAACAGAGCCTGTAAACAAAGACACAACGTTAAAATCCTGATTCCTGAGCCTGACACTACCACAAAAGAACAGGATCTGGGTTGTTCCCTCTGAAACAGATGTTTGTTACCTTTTCAGGGTCAATGAGGGTCACTGGGATGTTTCGACCGACCACAACCATCACAGTCCTCCCACACATGTCCACACCTACAGACACACCACCAGTTAAAGACACCAGTACTAGATCTGAAAACCACAGAACCTCTGAACAGGATCAGGAACATCCTCGTCAAACAACCAGAGCTCTTCTGCTTTTTTACCTTTCACTGCTGAACCTTTTTGAGCTAATTTGTGTGAAACAGAATTAATGTCAATATTTACTGTCAAACGTTCGTTTTCTGCTGTTGGTTATTAACATCCATCACTCGTTAACTAAGAATAACAAGGTTTAAACCAGGCCATACTGGTTTATACCCGTCCATACTGGTTCATATATGTGGTTTTTATATGAATCTATACTGGTTAATATCTATCCATACTGGTTCATATCTGTATGTTCTGAGTTATATTTGTCTATACTGGTTTATATCAGGCCATACTGGTTTATACCCATCCATTCTGGTCTATATCTATCTATACTGGTTTATATCTGTCCATACTGGTTTATTTGAGTCCATATTGGTTTATATGAGTCTATACTGGTTTATACCTGTCCATACTGGTCTAAATCTATCTATACTGGTTTATACCTGTCCATACTGGTCTAAATCTATCTATACTGGTTTATACCTGTCCATACTGGTCTATATCTATCTATACTGGTTTATACCTGTCCATTCTAGTCTATATCTGTCTATACTGGATTATACCTGGCCATACTGGTTTATATGGTGCGATATTTCACACACACACACACACACACACACACACACACACACACACACACACACACACACACACACACACACACACACACACACACACACACACACACACACACACACACACACACACACACACACACACACACACACACACACACACACACACACACACACACACACAGCCTATAATCAGATCAGCCAAAGCTGATGCAGGACTGAACAACACTGCCTCCTACTGGCAAAAACGCACCACTGAGACAACCCAGTCATTCCAGTTAAACCCACAGTGAGAGGGGGAGAAAAACTAAAATATGTATTAAAGTTGTTTTCTTATTAAAATGGTCTATAATAGAGTTATAAATCTGATGTTTGTCAGTTGTGTAAAATGGTCTGGATCTGTTAAACTAGTTCATGCAGGTGATCCTGCAAAGGTGATACTCAGACACTTTATTAAGTACACCTGTTCAGTTGCTCATTAACTGCCAATCATACAGCAGCACTGACTCATCGCCTACTGAAGTGTATCCTGAGTTTAAATGGAACAGAAAGGTGACGCTGGTTGTGATGTGGTTGCTAGTACCAGACAGGCAGGTCTCAGTGTCTCAGAACCCGCTGATCTACAGGGATTTGAACCCACAACCATCTCTAAGTTTTACAGAGATCCAGTGAGCTGCAGTTGTCTGGCTGAGGTCAGAGGAGCCTGGTCAGACTGGTGTCCCTCCTGTCAGCTACGACCTCTAATCGGAGTGGCCGACGACACTTCTACATGTTTCATGTCAGCAGACACAGAACTTGGCACGACCAATCAGACATTAATAAACATGCATCAGTAAGGTTTTTTCAGTTTTTATTATGTAATTAATACTTTTAACTCGTTCACTGCCAATGACGACTAAAGATAAGATCTCTCTTTTTAATTCTCATCAGAACTCTAGCTGCAGCATTTTGGACAAGCTGAAGACGTTTAACTACATTCTGTGGACTTCCTGAGAGTAATGAATTACAGTAATCCAGTCTTGATGTAATAAATGCATGAACTAGTTTTTCAGCATCACTCCTGGAAAGGATGTTTCTAATCTTAGCAATATTCAGAAGGTGGAAAAAGGAAATCCTACAAACCTGATTAACCTGGGATTTGAATGACATGTCCTCGTCAAAGATAACACCAAGGTTCCTTACTTTGCTCTCAGAGACTAATATAATGCCAATCAGGTCAGGTGATCGACTAAGCAATTTCCTTTTCTGAATTTCAGGTCCAAAGATGAGAATTTCAGTCTTGTCTCGATTTAAAGGCAGAAAGTTTTGAGTCATCCAATTTTTTATGTCTAAAAGAAAAGCCTATAATCTTATTAGATTCATCAGGGTTAACTCAACAACTATCCCGCACCATGAGAACAAACATCTCAGCTCTAAAGTCGATCTTCATCCGCATACGTCACACGTCACGTGATCAGGAAGCAGAACATCCATGTGTTAGGAGATCGTTTTGGGACGCTGCTGTAAAAAAAAGTGAGGCGCGAACCGGAAAAGCTTCTGCCGATCACAATTCGACAACGGATTATGAAAGAACGGATAAAGCTCGAAACACACGGATTCCTCCTGATGTAAGAGGTGATTCTACTCTTTGTTTTGGTTGTTTCGGCGTCAATGTCATCCTAGCACGCAACGTTCTGTGACTCTTAAAAAAAACAGCAAAAATGGCGAGAAACGCTGGCAGCGAAGGCCGTTAGCGATCAGGAAACGGCTGGCAGCGAATGAGCTAATAATCTGATTACTTTTGCTAAATTACCATCTTTGTTTAAAATTCTTAATGCATTGTGATTCATATTAATTTAAAGTACCTGCAGAATTTTGCTACCTCCTTTTGAGCTTCCTGTAAGGGCTTCTACCTTTTAATAAACGTGGTGTAACTTTGACCTTGAGGCTCCACGTCCATCAAGAACGTTTCTACATCTTAACTGGACTTTTTCTGTATTTTAAGAAAAGACTTTTGAAAATTAATCATCAGACTCTTTCATTTTGTTGTCTTCAATACACTGACCAAGTTTATCTGTCCATAACTTTACAGGAACCATCTTTGTTCTGGGAAAAATATCATTTCTTAAGTATCGAGCGGAGATGGTTTTTGTGGCAGATTTAGCTAAAAATATACATGTTAGCAGCAAAAATATTGAGAGCTCAAGAGACTCAAGAACTCTTTTAACTCTGATTTCTTTGAAGCAAACCAGTGGACATGTCTCCAGACTCTGCCCAACACGCCCTACCTGTCTGATATAAGGCCTTCAGGGCGGCGATGTCTGACAGGTCTTCAGCTCTCGCTCGACCCAGCCAGCGACTATAGCTGCAGGATCAAAACACACAAAGAAAAACACCGTTGTTCTGTGGTTAAACAGCTGAGCACACACCCCAACTACTGAGTAGACATGCATTTACATATCGCCTCCATAGAAACTGCTGCTGTTGGATAACACCTGTTCAAACTTTGACAGGAAGGTTATTTATGATGAAATGAAGGATGTGGGAGAACTCCATCATTTGGATTTTAACTCATATTTACACAACGTTGTGTTGTGGACTTCATTTTATTAGGCTATTCAAAGAGAATCTCTGTTCAACTCAAGCAGAGAGGTCAAAGATGGCGTCTGTAGCTGGTGACAGGGGTCACGGCACCCATGTAGCTAAAATCCTCGTCCAGGTGACCACTTACTTTCTTTGGTGTTGCTTCTGCAAGGCTGCCTCTGAAATCTGTCCCTGGAGGATTTGCTTCCTCTGCTTGTCCACGTCTCCTTCCATCTGGGCAAAGGCGTGAGTCCCCACTTGACCCAAATCCAGTTCCAGACTTTCCTCTTCACCATCGTCTACATCAGTAAACAGATTGAATAAACTCAACAGCAAACGTGATACATTTTTGTTAAACTGACTCAGGTGTAAGCACTGTGGTGGGTGTCTGCTGGGGTCAGAGGGCTGTGGCAGCCATCTTGAATTGGCTCTAAAGGCGTGCGCACACGCACACGCACACGCACACGCACACACACACACAGATCTGAAAACATGACGGTGAAACAACCATAACTCAGTCAGCATCCAGGCCGAGTTTTCTCCACAACCACATGCATCACACACATTTTATCAACATCGACATGGCCATGTGTGTCGGCCAGTTGGTGTACATTAGTTGCTGGGCTTCACTCGCAAGAAGCCTGCTTGCTTTGGATCACTCTGTAGCCACATTTCCTCCTTTGAAGCACCGAGTCAGCAGACATCACCCTGGAGGTCAATGGAAGCTCAACATGGAAAACTGACTCGTTGGGTTGTGCAAAAGCTCAGATTGGCTAAAAGACAAAGTCCGGTTTACACGAGTGGTTAAAGCCGCTTTCCGGAGTTTTCTACTTTCAGAAATTATGTATGATTGTCAGAAATCCGTAAAAGCCATTATCTTATCATGTACTGTAATGTAAGCAATACATCCTTTTTTTTTTGTCCGGCAGAGCTCCGTGCAATAGGAAACTGAGCGCAGACCAGAACTAACCAATAGTGTTACGCTACAGCTTAGACGCTTCAAATTTAAGGAATACCTCGGCTGAAGCAGAGCCGATGAACTTTTCACGGACAAGAAAGTCTCCAAAATATAAATATATGAAAACACAACATGACATGAGAATAATACTCATAAAACAACGTGTTTGTCGGCTACAGAAGCACATTCATAAACTCGAAACGTGAAGTCGCCATCTTAAAAAAACAGAGTGACAGATTTTTTGTGTGATATGCTTGTCGGCCACTAGATGGTGCCATCGGATAAGAGAAACACTCCAGAAAGAGACTTTAAGGCCTGCATGAGAGTTTAAGATGCTCCTTCCTGTTTCTGAGCCAAACGAGGAAGTCTGTGAGATCCTGGTCTTTTCGTCACTACTGGAACCAAATAACAAAAAACTTTTCACAAATTCAGATGTGACAAAACTCTCCAGGAACAGAATTCATTTATTACGTTTGCTTCCTTCACACGACTTCATCTCCCTGGTTCTGTTGTAGCTCGTTGACCAAAACATCTAAACTATCCCAACCATCCTCTCTGGGTCCCTCTATGTAACCCCCTTTAGCAGAACACTCACGGTGTCACTCTGGAAATCACTCATGGTAAAAAATAAAGCCAGGAGCTGCTGATCGGCTGCACTGATGAACGGCTCCTGTATGTAAATTGGGGGGGGGGGGGGGGGGGGGCTTGCTGCTCTGGAGCATAATAAAGGTGTGTGTTGAAAGAATGTCTAGAATGAATTTAGAGAGGCAACTGTTGCTGCTCATCTAACTGGGAAGGGTTAAAGGTCATTCCACCATTCTGCAGAGAGAGAGAGATGTTTTACATTTCTGAATCTTCCCAGTAGTGGGCGTGTTGCCGGGTTAAGCCTGGTTCATGCTTCTCCGTCAGCTCCGCAGGGGACAGACACACGGATTGACGGAAGCGTTTTGCTCTCATATTTCTCTGTCTCTGGACGGAGTTGCAAAGCAATTGCCCGGCAGGACAACAGAGGGCGTAGCACTGTTCTGTGGTATCCTGTCATGTATCCGGTCCAAGATGGTGTGTTTATATTGTGTTTTTTTGTATATAACAGACTTTTTAACACAGACATATTTGTCTCTCATCCTCCTCCACCGCTTCATGCGCTCACCACCTCTAAACCCACGTTTCCTGTCATTTCCGTCCACAAATAAAACGCTTGCTGCGCATCTTTTCACTCCTCCAGTCACGGGGGAATTAAATGTTCATGTTTTTAGAGTTTTTTCGCGAGGTGTTCTTCAAGCTTCTCCGTGTCTGCCGCTAGTTATCCTGGGCTCTCTTAATGTTTTTGAGGGAGCAATGGCGGCGCTGTAGACGACAGCGGTGTCCTGACCAATCACAAGCTTGCGTTGTCCGTCTCGACCTCTCGACTGACGGATGTTTAGAAAAGAGAGCTCGACTCCGTCCGTCCTTGCGGAGCTCTCCGGCAGGCCCGCAAGGACGTTGCGTGTCTCCACACTGACGCAGACGGAGAAGCATGAATCAGGCTTTAGACTGTGATGCAACAGTATGGGTTCAACAGGCATGAGCTAGCAGGTTAAAGTTAAAGATCTACTAGAAACAAGCCTGAACAGGTACGGCTGGTTAATGGTGGCAGGAGAAAACATCTGGCAGCACAACTTCTGGAAGAAATTAGACGGACCGACGTAGAGATCAACCTGTGTTGGGTCCAAGGCAAACAGTGCTGCCAGCACGGTGGTAGAGGGCTCATGGTTTGGGCTTGTTCTGCAGCCTCGGGATCAGCGAGTCCACCGTAAACTCCTCTAGAGACCAAATTGCACTGAAGTCAGATGCGAGTCCATCTGTCTGACAGATGACGACAGAACCTGATTAACTTCAAATACATAATTGTTTGGGTCTTCCTGATACATAAAAAGTGGACCTTTTTGTACACGTAACAGTACCAGCTGATTTTCTCTGATTCACCAGTAAGACGATACAATTTAACCAGTTTAAACTGGTACGTGACATTCTCTCTGGGTAGCGTTGTAGCTGATGCTGATCCATCAGCTGTTCTGTGTTTCATCAGGCTGTGAGCTTCGAGTGTGAATCCAGATGATTTCCTCCTTAGCTGCCAGGATTCATGCTTTCACTACGAAGGGTGAAAGCATGATGATTAACATGAACACATAAATAAATCAATTTCTTATGAAGGTCATGCAGCCAAAACACACACACACACACACTGTAAAGCTGCAGGGTGTTTTTTAGAGCTTCATTAGACACACACAAAGAATATTTATGTGAACAGAAGATCTAATTGAGCTTGCTTGTGTTTATTTTGCTGACCTTTAAAGCCAACGAGTGAATTTATTTGATCAAAGACACCAGAAGAGACTGCTTCCAGTTTCAAAACCAATCACGTGCAAAAAGAATCCCGTCTAGTTTTATGAAAACATGGCTGGCATGAAAGAAAAGCACATTAGATGTTCCCCTTTAATGCCTGGAATGAAAGAAGCTGTACCTTCCAGGCTGCCTGGTTTCTCTGTGATGCGGATCTGTCTCTCGGGGACGACTGATTCTCCCTCAGAGTTGCCAATGTCAGCAGGGATGAGAGGAAGGCAGGCCTTCTCCTCGGGCTCGGAGCGAGGGAAGTAGAGCGGTAACAACCTCCTGTAGACGGGCTAAAGAAAGCAGACCCAGTTCAGACCGTCATGTCAACCAGGTGGTTGTGTGGTTAACTACGGTAGCATAATAGTGCAAAGGCGTTTCTGCACGTAGTACTTCTGCAGGCCTGAAACAACCCCACCTGAAAAAGGGACAGACAGAACAAGAAGGGCGTAGCTCTGGTCTGCTGTAGTGAAGAAGCAGCTTCAGAGCTACTGCACCGCCTGTGTTCAGACCCTCATCCTGAAGATGGAGATTCTGGAGACCAGGGGCTGAAATGAGCTTCCTCTGAAGGAGGAGAGGGGTAGTAATCTCAGCCCAACAGATAAAGTGAGGCGATCCGTCACCTCCCTCGATCTCAGAGTAGAGCTGCAGCTCCTCGTTGAAGGGAGCATCTGGTTAGGATGTTAGGATATGGAGGTTTAGTGGACACATCCTGACAGGAGACCCACATCTCACTGTAGGGATTCATCCTTTCTGAATGGAGAACACCCAGGAGAGCAATGTCTGGTTTCCCGGGTGGGTGGGTGGATTTGTGCTCTGGTGTTTTAGATGTTTGAGGATACAGGAGGATCTGCAGGTGATCGAGATCTCCTTGAATCACTTTGGTCAAGACGTCCATGACACAACCAGAAGAGTGCTGTGTGTTAGAACATAGTCCTTACACAGGCAGTGAAACTTTGTGTAGCAGGAAATATTATATACCCCAGAGACTCATGAAGATGCTTCTCCAGCTTGGACTCAAGCCCACTTTGTTCCACCGACTGGAACCTCAGCCAGTGTGGGTTGGCAACAACTGCTCCAAGATGCTAAGTACTGGTGTCCTCAGGGTTGTGTACTCGGCCATCCACTGATTACACCACTGAGCTGTGAATGTGAGTAATCAGGTCATCTAGTTCACCGATGAGACCACAATAGGGCTTGGGATCGTGTCGCCCCGTTGGTGGCCTCGGAGACTTGTTGCTTGTTACTCCAGACAGCAGCAAGCTCAGGCTCGGTCTTGTGGCTTCATTTAATCCATTTTTAATTTCTTTGGTTATATTATGCAACCATGGTAAATCGCTGCTGTGCTGTGGGGTGCAGGGTGGAAAACGAGCTAATTGTTCACCGTTTTCCTGGTTGGAGGCGTAAACACGGAGACCAAGTATCTAGGAAAGTCTTGTCGGCTCGCAGCTGTAAGGCAGCCCAACATCACCTCTGGAGTAGTTTCGTTCTGATAACTTAGATGGTTTACATTTTTTTATTCATCGTTTCTCTCCTTCAACCACGACATACACACACACACACATATATACAACACACAGACACCGGTAAGCTAGTGTGGGCGCACTGACACACAACTTCTGCTACTTTGCTGCGGCTGCTATGGGATGATAGTTTTGATTGTTTTACTGGAAAAAGCAGCAAATGAAACGTTTACCCCTCATCCGCACGTTGCCATCACCTCACACCTCAAACAAGTTGGCCCAAAATGTCCGTTTTCAGAACTGCAGCAGCAACAAGTTGTCGTCAGTGCTCCAGTCGTGGGTCTTTCATACGGATCCAAACCGTTTATCATGCTGATTTTGTCCACATGCCGGTCCCCGACTTCTCCGTTTAAAATATTCCACATCCTTTTAGGGATTTTAAAATATGGTTTAACACTTCCTTTCTTCCCAAATCTGCTTCTTCTCTGCAACGTACGGTTTGTTTACACTCGTATGTCTGCGCCTATCCCAGAATGCAATGCATAATCACGTGTGATCCTGAGCCTGATAGTGGGACTCACTTGAGACAATGAATCAATGTACAGTGTAAACAAGACAAAAGGACAAAGGAAATGACCTTCAACTTTCCAAGATCACAGCCTGAGCACACGCCCCTCTACATCAGTGACTCCCGGTGGACAGAGTGATGTCCTTCAGGTTCCTGGGAGCTCAGATGTCCGACAACCTCCCCTGGTCACTGAACACCACTGGTCATGAAAAAGGCCCAGCAGGGACCGCATTTCCTGAGACTTCCTCTAGAGTGGATTCTTCTGATGATCTGATGGAAACGTCTTTTTGTTTTTGAGTACATTGCTCTGTGTGAGTACCACCAATTACAATAACACTGCTTTGAATTCATCAGGGTATCTGCAGGTTTAAGGGAGCCAAATTTAAGACCTTTTTAAGGCCACTTTGACCAAATTTAAGCAGTTTTTTAAAATTAAATTTAAGCTGTGATTTCCAGCTATTGCCTGGAACGTCGCGAACGTGGGATTAACCATCCAGTTACCATTAAACTTGCACTTCTCCATGGTGCAAGCTCCCACTAGCTTAACCAGCTAACGTGCTCATCTAATAATAGCCCCCTTTCACAACCAACTGAACGTGTACGGTTCCGCTTACGCCAACATCGGACACAAAAAATGCTGAACACTTAACTAGAAATTCACGAAAATTTTATAGAAATAAAAGAGTCTTGTTTATTGGGTCTTTGGTAATTTAAGACCTTTTAAGGACCCGCGGATACACCTGGGTTTTGTAGTTTCTTACAAGTAACTAGTCGATCACGTTTTCACATAATCTAAAGTCTAAAACACAACTAGATGGTTATGTTTTTCAGACCATCATCTGTGAAGAGCATTTAGAACACAGAACAATACAAACCTCTTCCAGTTCTGACACGGCGAACACCACCGACTCGATGCAGTTTCCGTAGTTCTCCAGGAACCTGCGCACTGTTCCTGAGGACAAACAACACACTCATAACCCTGTGGTTGTTTACAGCCGATGACCAAATAAAGCTGGAACTCATTAGCTGTGGCGGCCATCTTGAAAAGAGTTGACTTCAGAAGATACTCAGTTTCAGATGAATGTGTTTATGGTTGCGTTAAGGATTTTATTAAAATATATACATATGTATTTAGTTACCAGACTCACAAACGTTGGGTCTGTGATCACACATGTTAACATGCATCAAGTTTAAACTCCACCTCTGTGGAACGCTCCATCAGCTGTGTGGAAAAGACACTTCTGTAGGACTAGGGGCAAGACAACAGACTACAAAACAAAATAACAAATCAGGAGTCACTGATGTTTGTGTAACGGAATGAAATGACTGTTTCCCCCTCTCCTCTGACACAGGACAAGTCTGCATGAGATATGGCCTCAAGGTCTCATGCAGTCATTATAAACTGCTTCTTTCCAGCTCAAGAGAAGAATGAAGAATGGACTCTCTCCTTTTAATAAATCAAAGAACTCTATTTTAATAAAGCTAATCAAACTAAGTGTTAGTCAATAATAAGATGTGACCAATCTGTGAAATCAAAATATTAATTACTTTATTATAATCCTACAGAATATAATAAGTAATATGACTTTAAATGTTCCACTAGGACTGATCTCACGTAGCGTTAAGACGACACGTTGTTTTACTGATCCAATCAGAATCTGCCAGATCTGACGGAGGCGTAGTTCTGGTGGTGTTTGGTAAATCTGTCATCTTTTCATTCGACCATAAACCAAAACATCTGAAGTATAAAACTATGCCCACGTCATCTCCAACGCCAGTTCAAAGCGTTCTAGAGAAGATGTCGGAGTGGCCAATCCGTAACTTTCCTCTTCAGCCAAAAGAACCAACGACAAGCTGGATAAAATCTGTTGCTGTTCCACCTGCTGCAACGGTTCCTTTCAGAATAAAAGCTGAACATCACGACCCAGTTTTGGGTCTCTCTAGATGCCAACAAACTGTCGTGACCCGGGAGTATCTCAAGACTGGTGGTCAGCTGCCACGGCTGTTCCTACAGGCTTCGGCTCCATAAAGGTCAAGCTGGACCTTTACACCTCCTGATCTAGACGGGGATTTCCACAAGGGTGCGTTGACCGACAGAATGGCGTCTTATCTGTTTATGAATCTCCTAACCAAAGCTTAGCGTGAAGACATCACTTTCACTTCCCATCAGAACTAATCGTTTCTTCGGATTTCCTGGTTCTGAGCAACATTCCACATTACACCATTCACCGTCTCACTCACCTTAGTTACACCATACATTTAGTGTTTAAAGTTAGTCTAGTTTTAATTTGTTTAGTAATAAATCTTTAAACTTTTAAAACTTGACTCTCTCTCTTCTTTTGTCTCTGAATTAATACGAAGCTGTTATCTAATCCCTGCAATAAAAAGTTCCAATCTTCTGGTTAAACAGTACCCACAGATCCATAAGGTTGATTTCATATTTACTATGGAATCCTATGTCTTATGGCTTATTGAATAACATGTAAATTAACTCATTACATTTGTAATAAAATCAGCTCGTCTTACTGAAAGCTATGTGAGTAGCATCCTCCAGCGGGTAGCCCCTTTTTGCTGTGGTCACCACACAGAAGCCCACAGATGTCATCGACTGTTCTCTGCAGCGAGAAGAACAAACGGCAAACATTTAAACGGCACACTGGATCAGATATTCTGCAGATAGAGTGTTGGGTTACGCGTGTTCGCTCTGACTGAAGAAAGGAGAGCGTGACCTGCTGGTTCTTACGCTGCCAGCTGCATGATGTTCCTGTAGCAGAAGTACAGCGAGCTCTCTGCTGCCGTCCTGTACTTGGCTTTGTACTTGGGTCCCACCGTGTGGAGGATAAATCTCGCCGCCAGGTTGAAGCCTTTGGTCAGCTTTGCCTCTCCTGTTCGGCAACCTGCACACAAACACGTTTAGACTCCGCCTGAGAGGTCTTAAAACCACGGACGTTAAACCTCCATCAACACATCCTTTCATCCAGCTGTTTAAAATCTTTTATGGTTTCTGTCAAAATCACCTTTGAGTTTTAGGAGTTCATCCCTGAGTTCGGGCCCGGCCAGCTGATGGATGCTGTCAGACACCGGGTTCTTGTCGCTTAGCGACTCGTTGCTGGTGTTCACCACAGCAGTGCAGTTCAGCAGGGCAACGTCTCCGGTGCTAAGAATAAAAACACAGTATAAACAGAGCTTAGATTTAGATGTAAGTGTCCAAACAGCCTTTGGGTAATGTGGTCTTACCTGAAACATGAATTAATCTAAAATAACTCAAAGAGATTTAGATATAAACAGGGCTGGTTTAGCCCTGGTGCAATCTGCTAGACGGCGCAAAACTGCAGAATAGCAAAAAAAAAAAGTTAATTAAATGTATGCATGTATTGTAGCACCCGTATGGATGTGGAAAGGATAACCACGGCGTTACAGAAGAACAACTAAATGAGATGAATGAGCTGCACCAAACCAACACACACATCGCCCTGCCTCCCTCTCTCAACCTCCGACACACACTGCCCTTTTACAATCAGCTAGCACACATAACAGGAAAACAATACCATCCATCCATTTTCATCCGCTTATCCAGAGTCGGGTTTCGGGGGCAGCAGCCTAAGTCGAGAGGCCCAGACTTCCCTCTCCCCCCAGCCACTTGGGCCAGCTCCCCCGGGGGAATCCTAAGGTGTTCCCTGGCCAGGTGATAGACATAGTCCCTCCACCGTGTCCTGGGTCTACCTTTAGGTCTCCTCCCGGTTGGACGTGACTGGAAAACCTCACCAGGGAGGCGTCCAGGAGGCATCCTCACCAGATGCCCGAGCCCCCTCAACTGGCTCCTCTCGATGTGGAGGAGCAGCAGGTCTACTCCGTGCCCCTCCTGGATGACCGAGCTTCTCACCCTATCTCTAAGGGAGAGCCCAGCCACTCTTCGGAAAAAACTCATTTCGGCCGCTTCTATCCGCGATCTCGTTCTTTCGGTCACTACCCAAAGCTCATGACCATAGGTGAGGGTAGGAACGTAGATCGACTGGTAAATCGAGAGCTTCACCTTCTGACTCAGCTCTCTCTTCACCACGACAGACCGGTACAACACCCGCATCACTGCAGATGCAGCACCAATCTGCCTATCGATCTCACTCTCCAGTTTTCCCTCACTCGTGAACAAGACCCTGAGATACTTAAACTCCTCCACTTGGGGCAAAACCTCATCCCTGACCCAGAGAAGGCATTCTACCCTTTTTCGAATCAAAACAATGCAACATTGTTTAAACATGAACCTTACTGCAGGGCTGCTACAGTATTATGAACATTACACTCTACACACACACACACAAAATTTCCATCAGAAAGACATAAAAATAAAAATCTCAATATTTAAATTATTTGATCCGGTTGCATCACATGCAGTAGGGTTTACATTTGCAGACGGTCCCTGAGCGCTCGTGGCAGTTTCGACGGGTTATCTAGAAAAAATGAGGTTGTAGTTGGGTCACTACCTTTCCACGATACCAAAGAGGTTTGTTATGTTTCGGAATGACCTTCTGATCAGAAGTTCATGAGCCGTAAAAGTCGAATCTGGCAATAACTTTCAAACTTTACTGAAGTACGTCACTTTCCCATGAGGCCAACCCGGCGCCCCCTCCGTCTGATTAGCCTTTACCCGCTACCTGAGGAGAGTGGTTGTTTCTGATGATTCAGCTAGCTCAACATGTCAAAACGCCCTAAATGATCAGAAGTCTGGGGGAGGAAATGGGACAAGGACAGAAGTAAGGAAATGTTACAGTAATGATGTCATCACGACATTATTAGTTAGCATCCTGGGGACGTTTTACGACTAACTATGCTAACTTCTTATGATTTCAAAAGCTGAGACACGATATTTAGGAACATTTCAGTAGTTTGGAATATTTTGAGATATTTTCATGTTTTGTGTTCTGAGAATTCTGTGTTTCATAACAACTCCTTATAAGTAACTATATGATTTTCTGGTAACTTCTTATCAGTTCTGTCTGTTTATTATCTTTTTCTGATCAGAGTGACTTGTCACTTCATTCAAATTCAAAGATACTTTATTAATCCCAGAGGGAAATTAGAGTTTCAGTACACACAATTCAGAGATCAGACATACGTGGGCAAGACACATGACAAGAATTGGTGACTGTGGTCATTCGCAACCCTGAGTCGCGCTACCTTGATAGAGATCAGAGGGTTACATGAGGATTGGTTCAGGTGGAGGGAAAATAGTAGAAATGGTTTGAATTTTGCCAAAAACATTTTTCTTTTTAAATTATTGCAACAGATTATTGTTGCAATACTGATAGTATGTAAATGTCAGAGGTCACTCACTACAAAACACCCTGTTAAACAGATGCAGATCAGTCCTCAGAGATCATTTTAAAATCAGTCGTTTTAAAAAGGATTTCCATTGATTCATTGTGTTTTATGTTTTGTTTTTATTGGTTATAATTGCATTATTTGGTTATTTTTCCAACACAGCAAAGGAGTTGTTTTACTTTGTTTTTGCTGATGTTTCGGCCAACGCTGAATGTTGTTGTTTTACACGTTTACCTCTTCACTTGTTGCCAGTGATGAAAGGGAGTCTGATGTGCTTGTTATTTATCCAAAATTTGCACTCCCCAGGGTTTTTTGACCCTAATGGGAATCTGTTGGTAAGGTCTTTCTCCAACACAAAAATACTGCTTGCTTGCAGCGATTTAGGTACCTACTGCCCCCTATCGCCAGGAAAAATACACACTGTCACACATAGAGCTCCAGCCTCACAGAACAAACCCACCCCTACAGACTAGTTTGTATACACTGGTGGTAAAATATCTGTATTATTATTATCATTATCGGATGTTGTGTCAGAAAATAAAGGAGTGCTAAATCATGAGAAGCATCCTTTTGATTTGATGTTGTTTAACTTAATTTAAGTGTAGCTGCTTTGTCTCACGTGTGACTAACAGAAAACCCTCTATTTTCCTGCTATTTTTGTGCCGCCCCAGCCTGGTTTCACTCTGCCCCCAGCTATATGAATATTATTTTAACTGCAGTTGCAGCGCTGCGCCACTATAGGGGCGCTGTATCAGCAGCGGTGCACCGAAAAGCGCTAAAACCGCTGCAGAACAAGAAGATCAAAAACATGTCGATGATCAAAAATAGCTTTTCTCGCTAGTTGGTACATATCTATGGTTGGTGCTATTGACGTCCTGATTTTTCCCCAGGCTCTTCCATATCAGAGCAGGGCTGTACAGTGTTGTCTGTGCGTGTCTGTCTATTTTTAAACGTAGCACTGGTGCAACATCCTTCAATTACTATTTTCCCCAGAATTTTACTGAACAAAAGTAAGTTACTTGTAAGAAAAATGCTTTTTACTGGCGCACAGAGTGGACATCTGGATGCAGTAGAGGAAAATAAAGGAACCAGCAAAGGCAGAACCGGTCCAAAGTTTGGGATCAAAAGTGCAGCTACGCGCAGATTGGCTAATGCTAAAGCTAACGGGTAGCAGTCTCACGATCAAGTGACGCACAGAAAAATAAATGATGATCGTAAAACTAAGAAAGACTAAACTCTACAAGTGGATAAAAAGTCCCCACCATCCTGTTTATTCTGCATCCTGCAGCGCTATAGCCTGGCAAGTCTGGCCACGCTCCATTGACGGCTCTCGGTTGTGGGGCGGGTTCTACCGTTGTCTTTCAAATGATCTCTGCATGCTACTGGCAGTGTTGGGCAAGTTACTTCAAAACTGTAATGCATTATTTATTACTTGTTACCCTCATTTTAAAGTAATTCATTACATTACAATATTACTGATTTTAAATTGTAAGGCATTACACTACTTTTGCATTACTTTAAGTTACTTTCACCAATACAACTTCAATATGAATCTGGTAATGTGACGCTCAGTGAGCTCATGACATATATGTGGAAAGTGATGTGGTGTCTTGAGCTAGGGTTGCTGTTAAAAACAGTCAGATATAATAACAGTGCTTTAAAATGATTGTTTATTAAATAAAAGCAACAACAATCTGTACTCTCAGCACGCTGCCATCTTATATTAACTGAGCAGGGAGTGGGGTGGTGGGGGCTCCAAGCCTATATTTGCCTTGGTCCTCAAATGCCTTGATACGGCCCTGGATGTGGGACTGACTTCTGGGGTGATCTGATTCAATCACATGTATAATTATTAAATGCTTATATATTATTGCTTTTCACTGGTAAAAATGTGTATTGGGGATAAATCTACCTACTTTTTTTCCCTTGATTTTATTTGAATAATTTCCTGCCCTTTCTCTCTCTAACCTTCCTGCATGCTGCATGTTTTCTCCGTCTTCCAGAAAAAACTGTTTCCTAGATTTCCTACTTTCTAACTAATCAGCCAAAGGGATCTTCACATGCGCGGCGCTCCAGCAGTAATGAGTTGAAATCACTGGGGCACAGATTATGAACTCAGCTGAGTCAAAGCACGTCAGAAAAGCACAAAATACCAGAGAATATGCACTGATATGAACGATCGCAAGTGAATTATTTTGTTTTAGTGGAGCGATTTTGGGAATGTTGCAGCGGCCGCGTGCAGGACGCAGCTGAGCCGGTACCGCTGCGTCCTCTCTGCCCGCAAAGCTGAGTCCATAAATGACGTAATATATGCAGATACTGGATCTTTCTTCGGGTTTCCCGCAATTTGAATTTTTAAGGAACACATCTTGATTCTGTGTTTAAAAATGCATTGTAATTACCGCTTTACTGACAATTGTACCGAGTAAATATTACCATTTTCTTTCCCTGTAATGCCTTACATTACCACATTACAGCAAAAAGCAATGTATTACAGTAATTAATTACTTTTGTACTGCATTACTCCCAACATTGGCTACTGGACAATGAGTGTGACATACTCTTGTTTCACTCTGTTGCATCATCCCACCCACCAGGCATACAGAGTGCCCTGATTGGCCCACAAAGCGGATAAAGCTCTGTGATTTGTTCACTAAGCAGATAGAGCACTATGATTGGCCCACCATTATGGACCAATCACAGCTCTTTATGTGTTTGAAACCCCTCTAGAGAGCTGTGATTGGGCAGCCAGAGTCCTGGTAGGAGCTGCGGAGGTTCCAATGGAGCGTGCCTAGACCAAACTTTGCAAAGCAAGAATTTGGTCTAGTTCACTAGGCTAGCAGCGCTACGGATCAGAACCGCTGCAGATACGAGTCACACAGGAGCAGGAAATACGGCAAGCCGTTTTAGTATATAATACACAAACGCTTCTATCTTTGAGCTGGATTATTGCCAACCCGTACATAATGGACATGCCACCATTACACTGTTAGCTGCAGAAATTAAATGTTACTACCATTTCCAATACAAATACATGTTAATGACATGCATCAAATTTTACTGTATATATTTATGTGACTAAGATGAGTGTTATTAATACAAACCTAAAATGTTACTGAAATGTAGGTCAAATATTTAAAAATAGTTTGAACTATAAATATCAGATGGGAAAAAGGAACTAAACACCAATCTGATGCATATTATTGAGCCTTTTATAATAAGAGTCTGTTATTTCAGCCTGATAATTTGTTGTTTTATTTCATATTTTTTAGCAGCAAAACAGTTTTGTTTCACTTGTAACGTTGTCAAATGGAATATTCTATTAACCAACAGAAGCTTAGATTAGAACACTTAATAAAAAAAATATTTGGCCTTTAAAAAAATGAGGCAGTTGAACACACAGAGTATGCATGTGCTGGCGCATGGTCAGGATGGTACCACCTCTGCCTCAGTTTGAGCCAGGAAAAACCCTGCTATTGTTGGCTTTTAATTAGTTCTCTTTGAAGCCATCACATGCTTGAAGGTGCTGAGGGTCAGTAGTTCCTGATCATGTTACTGCAGCAGGAATGTGCTTCCTCCTGCTGCTGCAACACCACGCCTCCTAGAGAGGAACCGCTGCCAGCTCCAGTCTGAGTGGTCATGTGTTCCTCCACAAAGAGGCTTTGAAGCAGGAGGCCCAGGCAGCTTTCACACACACACACACACACACATACACACACACACGCACACACGCACAGACACATACACACACATGCAAAGACACACACACATGTATGCATGCAGATAAACTGATCAACTTTAAAATGCTCCTTTAGCTGACCACCTGAGGTGATGGGACCTTAATCAGCTGACTTTCATTACCATCAAAAGCCCAGGGTTGTTATGGTTACACAAAAACTCAGGTGTGAACAGGTCAAGAAGAGCAATCAAGATATAAGATCAAAGTGCAAACTGGACTGGTAATAAAACCTGTGCTGACCAGCCCATAATACCCATAGGTAAAAAAACAACGTAAAATGTAAACCCCTGTAAAACCCTAAAACCTGTGTGTGTGTGTGTGTGTGTGTGTGTGTGTGTGTGTGTGTGTGTGTGTGTGTGTGTGTGTGTGTGTGTGTGTGTGTGGTGTATGTGTGTGTGTGTTCTTGTACATACTAAATACTGAGGACCATTTTGACCATTTTCCCTACAAAGTGAGGACATATTTTTACCAGTTGGTTTTAGAGCTATGGTGTGAATTAAGCTTTAGTTAAGGTTAGAGTATGGGTATGGGTATGGGTTCGGCATAATACAGTCACAAACATGAATGTAAGTCAATGAAGGGTCCTCACTATGATAGAATGTGTGTGTGTGTGTAAACAAATTATGTCATATGAACCACTGGCAGATTTTAATCAAACTCCCAGAGTAAACGTTACACACATTAGAACTTGTTGCCTTTAGAATTAAACACGATTCAAGATGGCGTCCACACCTAATCACACCTAGCCACAACAAAAACAGCTGTAACTCAATAACAGTTTAGAGTTACCTTCGCTTCAGACTGACATGGAATGCGGGGTCTTGGGTATTCCTTTAACGATCAGACATTTATTTAACTTGGTAAATTACAGAAATGTAAATGTTTTCCTTCGAGGACTGGAATCAGACAGGTCGTTTTAGCACAAATTAGGTTTCCTTTATTTCTGACCCATTTCTCAGGTCTATGTGGTACCACAGCATGATGCTGCCACCACCATGCTTCACTGTGGGGGTGAAGTTCATTGGATACTAGTGGCATTTATTTCAGTGTACAAAACATTAAGCCTCATCTGTCCAGTGTAATTCTCCGGTACTTTATGAACATGGATTCAACAAGTTTTCATTTTTAAATCTTTAAATTTCTTTTCAGAAAACACATAACTGAAGTAAGTTTGGCTGAAACTTAAGCAACGTCCCCAAAAAGAAACAACATTGACAAAAAAAACAGCAGTGACTCACAAGAGGATGATCTTGCGGTTGATTTCTGATCTGAAGGGGAAGGGTGAAGGAAAAGCCTGAAGGCTGCGCACGCCGTCGCTCTGGTCCAGCAGTGAGTCATCGCCATCCTCCCCGAGCTGCTGCTGCCATGTGGGAAGAGACTGGATGTCCACAAACTGGGAGCGAGCGCCCAGAGGATCCATGCCCTCTGAAACAACAAGCTCACAGAGGATCGAGCCAGAGAGCTGCAAACCCAGGGAAAGTTTGATTGATCAGAGTGAATATTTGTAACAGCATCCTCCAACTGATGGTGGCGACTGTGACCGAAGCTCCACCAATTTACCCTTAAAACAGATTTAGTTCATTACTTTTTAATCACACAAATAAAGAGGACAAACTCTGTCATCTCGTCATTTCTAAATAAGTTAACAGGCTGTCATAAATCCAAATGTAAATAAATGAACCAGATTGTTTTCAGTCATTTAAACTGATGAATAACAACAGATGTTATCATTTTATCTGATTAGGAATCATGAGCTCATTTATTAATAAAAGCAGATCTGCTTTTTTAAATTCTGGGTTAGTGGTGAGTTTATTGGCTGAAAGGGGATGGTCATCTTATTTTAGCTTATTAAAACTAATCATTTATCAAGAAAACAAGACGAATCGTTTACCAGGCAGATATGAGCCTTCCATATATGCACAATATAAAAAGTAATAAAAGAAACATGTCATTAGAGGTAAAATGTCTTTTCAGCTCTTTTAACGAAGTCATGTTCTGCTTTTACGGCAGTAAATTATGTTTTGAATCGGGAACTAGATGTAAACGAATCAGACATCTCAGATGAACAGAAAAGCTTCTGTAACAAAAACAGCACATTGTTTGAAATTAAATTAAATTAAATAAACACATATTGGTGTGTTTCTGAAACAGCAGGTCTCTGAAAAGCTGCGTGACATTAAAACTAGTCAACTCAGGTCAGTGTGAGTTTCATCAGAGCAGAGAAGTGGTCGTGTTACTGACAAAAACGCATTTACTTCTCTTTGTCATCCAACCTCTTAATTTCTTTAAGAAGGCCAAGCGTGTTTCTAATCAGTTTACGCAAGTAATTTTGGTTATTTGTTTATTTTGATGGGTATTTTGTGCGTTAATCAGAATTTACCTACCTGACCAAGCCAAGGCAGTGATGGTCAGAGCGAAGAAACAGAAAAACGGCTCCGTGAGCCTCTGGACTCAAGTGTTGGTTTTGTTAATCTGAGTTCTCATGCCTACAAGCAAAGTACGCGAAAAATAAAGTTATAAAGTGCCCATGACCTGGGTTCCTCACGTAGCATGCATGCTACTAGCTAAATGCTGGACTTATCAAACAAGCTAGTTGTGGTTATACAAACATCCGGTTTGGACTTTCAACGTAAAACGTCTTGAAGGCCCTCAGCAACATCCCCTCTTGTTTTTTTTTTATTTGTTCATTTGTGATTTACTATTAATTTAGTCAGTACAAGACAATAGTAAATTTACCATTACAATTTTAAAATATTAATTCCATTTTTTATTTGAGACCAGAATTGGTTTGAGGTTGCCATTTATGCCTCAGCAATCTCAAAGGCAAGACATTGTAAGATGGGAACTGATTAATTAATGAATTAGTGGAAAAACTCCTCTCACAATCGAGTGATCATCAACCGTGTGTATCTTGAGAATTTTGCACACTGTTGTGGGAACATAGGTCCTTGCAATGGTACTTTTATTTTTGACTGGTTTAAAACGAGTTTCCGGTAGCTTATTTCGCATTATTTCTACGTACCCTGACCTAACATGTCAGTTGTTAATCAGCTGACAAGTGGGAAAAAATACTTCCGCCGAAGGACGTACCGGAAGTCATCACGAGGAAACAGCGGCTGAAGTTTTTAATATTTCTCAGCAAGTCCTCAGACCTGTCCGTTCATGTTTTAGTAATTAATTAGATGATTTCCTCAGAACACAGCAGAAAAACTGAAACAGATAGTTCTCACCCTAGTTTGTGAAAAAAAAAAACATTTTAGCTTCTTGGAAGGAAAATAAAACAGCTGACTCAGCAAAACACATTCTGATTCCATTTATTTATTTTCACAATCATCAAACTCCAGACTTACAACTTTTATCTGAAAACCATTCAAACTAACTATTAACAGGATAATTTTGTTCTTTTTAAAACAATTTGTTTATTAACCAGAATAATTATAAAACCAACAAGTTGAATTTTAATGTTTTATGGAGGCTAAAAATTCTAGAGAAAAACAAAAATGATAGAAACATCCAGTAAATAACGAGCTCACCGGGTAAATAGAGGAATGAATAATTAATGGGAGACATTAAAGAAGAAAATTATTAAAGATCAAAACAACTGAAAACATCATAAAGTCATGATTCTATTTCTCAGAAAAATGTGGACTTGTTTCTGAGGATGTCTCCAAGCTCACCTCTCCACCAGCAGGACTTCACCTACAGAGTCACTCAGATCAGAACTTTTTAACAAACAGACTTTGTGTTCACGGAGCTTCGTGAGAGAAAAGATCAGACTGATGGACCAACAGGACAGATGATCAGAGGATCTGAGTTTTTACCTCTTTCATTAAGACCAGGATAGATGTACGGGTGGAGTTTATCAGAGAAGCAGCAGCCAGTAAAGGAGTAGATCAGAGCTGCAGCTCCTACATCATAAAAGTAGACCAGACCCTCCTCATAATCCACAAACACCCCCACCTTCTCAGGACCAGAATCAACATCTATTGAGAGGTTAACCCAAGCTATGTACTGATTTCTATTTAGCACCCCAATGGTCCAGTAACCATTTTTAGGATTCAGTGTGATGGGGTGATCTGATTCTATCACATGTATAAATATTAAATGCTTATATATTATTGCTTTTCACTGGTAAAAATGTGTATTGGGGATAAATCTACCTACTTTTTTTCTTTTCAAGCACTTTGTTTTGTTTTCTTGATTTTATGTGAAAAATTTCCTGCCCTTTCTCTCTCTAACCTTCCGGCATGCTGCATGTTTTCTCCGTCTTCCAGAAAAACTGTAAACTAGATGTCCTACTTCAGCCAAAGGGATCTACCGAACACACACACACACACACACACACACACACACACACACACACACACACACACACACACACAAAATTCTTAATATGCGCTGCGCTCCAGCAGCAATGAGTTGCACCAGGGCACAGATTATGAACTCAGCTGAAAAGAACACGAAGTACCAGAGAATATAGGCTGATATAAACAATCGCAAACGAATTACTTTGTTTTGGTGGAGCGATTTTGTGAAGATAACAGCGGCCGCGCACAGGACGCAGCTGGAATATTCGAGCCATTACTGCTGCGTCCTATCTGCTCATGGAATGCCCGCAAAGCTGAGTCCATAAATGACGTCATACATGTGGATACTGGATCTTTTTTCAGGCTTCCCGCAATTAGAATTTTTAGGAAACACACATCTTGATTCTGGGTCAAAAAATGCATTGTAATTACAGCGTTACTGATAATCGTACCGAGTAAATATTACCATTTTCTTTCCCTGTAATGCCTTACATTACCGCAAACAGCAATTCATTACAGTAATTAGTTACATTTTTACCGCATTACTCCCAACACTGCATATCATTTTGATCACAACCAGTAAAATATAACAATAATCAGACATTTAGATTTTGACTTCCAAATAAAAAATGAAATTTTATCCAATCCCTGGCTGCTAAAAAACTGAAATGTTTCGTGATCAACACTAAAATGCCATTTCTACAAAACTGTATCATATTTTTCCTTACACACAATTGTTTATTTATTCGGCTATTACATTTCACAGACCACACACAGAGGAAGAAAAAAACAGCCAGTAGTCACCAAACAATATTGTACCTTGTGTAAATTGTATGTGAAAACAAAGAAAAGGCCCAAACAATCACACACAGTGTTCGGCCTAATAGAAATAAAAGCATGAAACATCTTTGCCGATAGCTAAGCAAAGGAATTCTGAGAAAAAAAGTCATAATTTTCTTTCTTCCTTTTTCAGTGGCCCTAATCCTCTTCCGTACATGTAGAAGGTATAAAGTTTTACTACAGCAGCATAAAAAGGTGTGAAGCTAGTAGATCAAATGTGATTATAGTCTTGGTGTATCTAAATGAAATACGTTTTGTGTTCCTTTACATATTCACTTTAAACAGCACATTCTTAGATCAACTACCCTATAAAACCTCGGTGGACCAAAACACAGTGGTTACACGTGGCTCCTCATTCCAATGCATATGCAACACCCCCTCAGCCTCCCGGGGGAGCCGGATCTGCCGGTACAGGACCCCATCCTTCTCCACCAACCGGTCCCACTGCTTGAGGAGGGCCAATGCAGCCGGAGACAACTGGAGTCTTTCCTCACGGGTGGGATGTCTCTTTTCTATCCAAAATATCCTGATTTCACTAAGGACTGGATCAGCTTGCTGTACAACACAGAGGCCAGCCTGGTTAAAATGAGGCAATGAGATACTGTATTGTGTATGTAAACAGCTAGCCGTCCGTGGACCATGCGTGGCAGGAGAGGCAGTTAGCTACAATGGTAATGCAAAAAGTTCCTTTGCCAAATTTTTAAAGTCTACATACCTCTGCTTTGGGCCCGCTTTTTTTCTTTTTCCTTCCTTCGCTTCCAGAATGCTGATCCCGATGGCTTAGGTGTTCTTTTCACCGTAAAGATATCAAAAAGATATCAACAGTTTAAACGCGACAACAGGATGTCCTTCTACAGCGCTAACCACGCACGTGATCTACGGCACCCTTAACGGTCAAATGCATCGGAGCGGTGGCCCAAGCGGGAGCTCGTCACGCAGCCAGATAATTAGAATTTAAATATTGATGTTTTAATTTCATGTCATTTCAAAGGACAATTTTGAGTATGTAGAGAGTGCATTTCATATTACAAACATAAATTTAATAAACTTTTTTATTTTATATATTTTTTTTTATTTTGCGCCCTATCCACGAGATGGCGCCCAGGCCCAGGCGGCCGCCTGTGTCGCCTGTCGGCAAAGCCGGTGTCGCACCCAGGAAGCGGAAGTTGAGCCAAAGCAAAGATTGCGGTAGCGCCACCCCAGGCCCTATTTATATTAGCACCTTCCCTCAATGATAGGTTGTCCAATTACTTGGTGGCAGATGACTAATCCCACTACACATAGACCAGCAAACCCTACATGTCTGCAGCCATCAGCATCCGTCTGCAGGTGCTGAAGGAGTCACTGTTTTCAGATGGGATCAATCGTTAATCACAATTTATCTTTAAGAGCTAATTTAAGATGGGGAAAATAATGCTGTGGACCTCCTGACATGCTGAACTGAATTTTATTAATGAAAAACATATTTGTTTAGAACCCCACTGTTGTTTGGTATTGTTGTTTACTGTTTATATGGTCCTGGTAGGCCATGAGGAGGCGGTCTGTGGAGTAAAGTCCCCCTCTGATATAATGATTGCGACGCCAGTGCGCAGAAAAAGTAATTTTATGAGTTGACACAGAAAATAATGAGCCATTTTAGTCAGGCAAAAGCAACGGAAGAGGAAAAACACATCAGTTAATTTCAGCGATTCCGCTAAAAATGCGCAAAATTATTTTATAAGAGGATACGTATAAGTTACAAAACTATAACAAATAAAGTATCGATGCACTGAGTACAACCATACTGAGCCCACCGTTGCCTAAAAAAAATCGGTGGTTGATTCGTTGGGTCTGAATCTGACAGCATTTCATGGAGAACGACGCAAGTTAGCTCGTAGCACCGCAGTTGTTCGGTAAGAACACGATAACGTTAATCCAGAGGGTGTTTCGTTGATGGTAGAAAGGTGGACAGTGTGTAGGACTTTTACACACTTAAATATAAGTTGTGTTGGTTGTTGCGGTGGTGGATTTAGACCAGAACATCACCACGTGGGTACAAAAAACACCGGACCTGCTCCGTATGGACGCGCTTGTTTTATGTTATTGCTATGCCTGGATGGGCGGATCGTATCACCTGCATTGTGCATTTTAGCTTGAAGGCTTTAAAAAGTTTGAGCGTACGGACTGTCTAGGGTACCAAAACGAACGCCAACTGGAGTCGAACATATATCGTTTAAAATAACAAAAACGGTTGTTGTTTTGACTTCTAATGATTGAAAACATGTGTGAACATCATATAATCAACACACGTCCTACGTAGCACCAGAATAATACCGACTTCAAACACGTTTTATGTTCTGAATGCTTTATAATGTGTTTAAGCAGAGTAAAGGCTGTTCAGTTAAAGGTAAAAGGGAGGAAATGTTATAAATTGTGTTTAATTTGGCTAAACGTAGAGCTGAATACAAACAAAACTGCTGTCTGGTGACTCTGGTCTTGGTGAAAATTAATTTTAAAACCATTTATTCTGTCAGATTAAAGTCTTTGGTTATTTGCCAGAAATAAACAGGAATGACTTTTAACCTCTCTAATACAGGACTAATCTTTTTTCAGAAATAATCAGAACTGATCTGAGTTTCTGGATCCAGGAGCAGACGCAGAAACCTGGGGGAAGTGTGACGTGTGTTTTAACATCACTTCAGACGGGCCATGGGTCTGACCAAACAGTACCTGCGTTACGCTGCCAGCGCCGTGTTTGGAGTCATCGGCAGCCAGAAGGCCAACCTCACATACGTGACGCTCCGAGGAGGGGAGAGGGGGCGCTACGTGGCCGTGGCTGCATGTGAACACGTCTTCATTTGGGACATTCGAAAAGGAGAGAAGGTGAGACCAGGCTGCTGTGACCCGGATGAAGTGTCCGGATGTCCACTAAAACTCGTGTTTGTGTCCAGGTCCTGATTCTGCAGGGTCAGAAGCATGAGGTGAGCTTCCTCTGCGCCTCTCCTGATGGAGTTCACATTGCCGTGGGTTATGAGGATGGAGCGGTGAGGATCTTCAGCCTGCTGAGTGGCGAAAGCAACGTCTCCTTCAACGGTCACAAGTCAGCTGTCAGTGTGATAAACTACGATGCACTGGGGGCGCGGCTCGTCACCGGGTCCAAGGTAACCTTTGGGTTAATTCTGCTGATTTGCTCCAGCATATCTGCTTCCTAATAGAGTTCCTGTCTCCTTTTAGGACACAGATGTGATTGTGTGGGACATCATCAATGAGTGTGGGCTGTACAGGCTGAGGGGACACAAAGACGTCATCACTCAGGCCTTGTTCCTAAAGGACAGGAACCTTCTGGTCTCAAGGTATCATCGCCTTTAACTCAATGCTTCCTGATATGGCTGCAAATATTCACATTAGGATTTAAGCTATGCTGCACGCCTGCCGTCCGATTCACCCGTTGGTGTTTCACGTACAGCGGGTGGTAAAAGACACTGTTCTGGTTGATTCAGTGTTTTTATGCAACATAATAAAATCACAACTGTAGACTCAGTAAATCTTTAGGCAAACCAGTCAGAAACGTAGAATAACTCAGTGCCTCACATCAACAACAGAATGAAGCTATCTAACATAACTCCCTCTTTACATCCTCTGATAAAGTAGTTCATAACAAGTCTTCCATCCACAGTCCAACATAAAAAACCACTGAACACCTTAGAGATTTCATTCAAACATTTTCTATCAGTGTTTTCATCGTGGCTCTGGTTAGCATCCTCGTATTAGCTTCAAGCTATTACAGCACCAACCCCGAAGTGTGAGCTTCAATCAGCATCTTACCGATCGAACAGCTGAAGGGTTCGGCTTCCCTGACCAGAAGTGCCGCATGTAGCTTGAAGCAACTGCAGCTCAGTTTGAGGTTAACTGATGCATCAAACGGTCAATTTCAATTAGGGATGCAACAATACCACTTTTTTCCAAACCGATACTTGGATCTGAATATTCGCAGATACTGATTACCTATACTTCTACCACACAAAAAAATGTTACGATTTGGAATACAGATTTTATTTTCTTCTCTGCTTTCAACAGGAAAAGACTGTGAGGTAGATAAAAAGTAAAATATATGAATGGAAATCATCACAAAACTAAAATATTATGTGAACAGAAATGACAAGTTACAGTGAAGCCATTTTCAAGCAACAGCATTGGTATCGGTTCCTGGTATTGGTTAACTTTTACCGATACCAGTATCGTATCGGTATCTGCACCAATACCAATATGATATTGGTATCAGTATCTGTGTCGGTGCATCCCTAATTTTAATTCAGACAACGAAATCTCATAACCAATATCTTGTGGCCAGCTTCCATAGACTAAGGCCTAGTCCACACATAGCCGTTTTTTAAAAAAAAAAACGAATATCCGCCCCTCCAAAAACTTGCATCCACACCACCTCGTTTTTAAAAAGAAACTCTGTCCACACGTACTCGGATAAATACGTTGTTAAGGACATGCCAGACCTGTAGGCGGCAGTACGCCCCCCATTCTTAACCTCGTCCTTCGTCTGTGGTCTTCCGCAAGGAGCAGTAATTCTGCTTGCAAAAACAAACAGAAAGCGCTTGGACAATTGATGGATCGGGTAGTGACAGAGCGCAGCTCTGAGGGCTTCCATGATGCCGGCTAGTGTAAACACAGGTCGCACACGTGATGTCGGCATTTTTTGTCGCGGAAAGTGACGTTGCGGACCTTAAAACTCTGGGTTTGTCCGTCCACACGCAGACACCCAAAACGGAGAAAACACAGATCTTCACTGTGGCCGGAGTTTTTAAAAAGATTTGTTTTCGTGTGAAAAAAACTCAAGTTTTCGTGTGGATGACAGGCCAAAACGTAGGAAAATATCTACGTTTTGGCAGATCCCCGGCTACGTGTGGACGGGGCCTAAGAACCATTGTGGTTGGTGGATCGCTGTGTGTCAGGTACCGTTAACGTTGAGTCTGGCATCACAGCAGGACCTGAGATTGTGACTGTGGTGCACAGGTACGTTATGATGCTGGTACCTAAACGCGTCATGTTAGCTCTAGCTTCAAAGAATAATAACCGATCCTGTGAAACTCATTATTTCAGTTATTACACAACTAAGCTGTGTGTGTTTCTGTGTTTGTTCTCAGCTCCAAGGACAGTTTTGTGAAGTGGTGGGATCTGGACACCCAGCACTGCTTTAAGACCATGGTGGGCCATCGCAGTGAGGTCAGACTTCCTGCTGCTCCTGCAGAAAAGCTGCTGGTTAATAAAGCAGCTGCTCTGATGTCATCACTTATTTAGTTCTTATTATATGTTTTTGTGGACGTTGCTGTATTCATGAAGTAGTGTGTGTGTGTGGGGTGACTCGGTGTGTTTTCCTGATAGGTGTGGGGCATGGTCCTGCTGAACCAGCAGAACCGGCTGCTGACAGGCTCCGCTGACAGTGAGCTCCGATCCTGGGACATCAGCTACCTGGACCAGGTGAGGGACCTGCTGAACGACTGGGACTGGAAATGAAACCATAAAATGGATGAAAATCAAACCTTGTTGAACTGAAGGAGGGGTTTCTACTGCAGGGTATCTGCAGGGTCTTAAAAAGTCTTAAAAGTCTTGAATTTGATGAAAGGGAAATTAAGACTCTTGAAAGTCTTTAAAAAAGTCTTAAATCGATTTAGTAAAGTCTTAAATTTGGTTCATGTTGACGTGAATTTAAAACACGTTCGTCTCTTCCTTGCAAATTGACACTTTTCAACAAAAATTGCCATTTATGAAACCAAAAAGGTGAGTCTTTGGTCGGGTTTCAGTCGCTCTTTATAAGAATCAGCTTCAGAAAAACGAGGAGTGTTCATCCTCTTCACAAACCATCTTTGTTAGTGGGTCACGAGTCGCCATTTGACCAATCACAGTCACGGAGACCGCTAGGGAAAAACACGCTGCGGTAGCCGGTGTTACACCAGATTCTGCAACCCATCACAACTTGTGACCCCAGGGGGCAGTGTTGCACTTTGTTGCGTCTGTACATCCTGAATTGGCATAAAAGAAGAAGATGCTACGTTAAAACCGTAAACTACGTAAGCTTTTAGGAAGTTGTGCGACGCGGACCGTGGATATTATAAAGAGTGTTTGTTAATGTTCATTGCAAACAAACGGGACAGTGCACCCCAGGGCAGCTGTGGCTACATTGTAGCTCATCCCCACCAGTGTGTGAGTGGGTGTGTGAATGGGTGAATGACTGATTGTGTTGTAAAGCGCCTTGGGGGGTTCCAGGACTCTAGAAGGTGTTATATCAAATACAGGCCATTTTACCACTTACCATTTAAAGTCTTCATTTTATTTTTCGAGGGTCTTAAAAAATCTTGAAAAAGTCTCAGATTTAATTTTGAGTTCCCTGCATAAACCCTGTACTTCCTAATGATGCAAACCAACATGTAAACAACACAACGTCAGTAGTTTTGATCCTCGCTGACTGTTTCCTTTTCAGGGAAAAGCCCAGGGGGAGCCCAAAGTGAAGAAGGGGAAAACTCTGCAGGAGGAGGAGGACAGTGAGAAAGAAGAGGATGAGAGTCCTGAGGAGGTGCCTTCGTAGTGATGACTATGTGACTACATCCTCTGAGTTGGTGTTTTATTGATGTTTCTTGCTTTGTCAGCGAATCCTGAGCTGTAAGAAGGCTGGCTCCATCCTGAGGGAAGCCAGAGACAGAGTCGTCTCCATGGCAACAGATGCCAAGGCCAGAGTCATCGCCTGCCACGTGAGTGTCAAAGTCTTCCTCATTAAACACCAAGCCGAGAGCAGAAGTGATGAAATAAAATAACAAGTGTTGGGCTGATAAACCAGTGGATGTGACATCCTTCACCTCTGGATCAGGGCAACGATATGGTGCTGGAGCTTTTCTCGGCGCTGTCGGAGGAGGAAGTGCAAAGAAAAATGACCAAGAAGCTGAAGAAAGCCAAGAAGAAGGCAGCAAGGTGAGTAGAGAGGAGGCCTCCGTCTCTGATCCTCAGCTCGGTCCGGAGCTCCAGGAGTGTTGTTTTGTTTTCTGATTTATTCGTCTTTGATTGCGTGAGTAAAAAAACTGGTGACGAGGAAGACATCAGACATGTCTCCCAGTGAAACGCGTCTCACTGCTGCAGAGATCAGGAAGGCCCCGGTGAGCAGACGGAGCCGTTGGTGGAGAGGACGCTGAAGGATGAGATCCTCAGACTCACAAACATCAAGGCTTCTGCTAAGATCAGGTCAGTGCGGACACGTGTCAGCGTCTCACACAGATAAAAGACACGGATAAACAAGCCTGTGTGTCCCCCGTCCCCTCTCAGGTGGGTGGACTGTCTGTCGTGTGCGGGCGGCGAGCTGAAGGTGGCGCTGCTGCTGCAGAACAACACCGTAGAGACCTACAGCCTGAAGATCACAGACAAGAAGCCCACAGCCAATAAGACGGCTCGGCTGACGCTCGGCGGCCACCGAACCGACGTCCGCACACTGGCGTTCAGCACGGACAACATCGCTGTCCTGTCCGCCTCTGGGGACACGGTCAAAGTTTGGAACAGGTGCCGGCTTCTCCTTGGTTGGTCTGCATTTCTAAACTCTGTTGCAGTTTCTGAGACGTCTTCTGTCCGTCACAGGTCCACCCTGCAGGTGATCCGGACCATGGCCTGTGAGTACGCGCTCTGCTCCCTGTTTGTTCCCGGAGACAGGCAGGTCATCCTGGGGTCAAAGGTACGATCCCATCAGGAGGACGCTGAACTGGATTTTGTGGCTCTGTAGTTAACGTGGTGTTGTGTGTCAGAGCGGGACGCTGCAGATCTTTGAGTTGGCCTCAGGAAGTCTTCTGGAGACGGTGGACGCCCACAGCGGGGCCCTGTGGTCCCTGTGTCTGTCCCCAGACCAGGTAACCTCTGCTGCCTGTCTCACTGTGTCCCACCAGCACTTCAAGAGTCACTTAAATGGTCTGTTGTGTCCTGCAGAGAGGGATCGTCACAGGAAGTGCAGATAAGACCGTAAAGTTCTGGGAGTTTGAGCTCATAAAGGACCAAGGCTCGGGCCAGAAGTAGGTTTGAATCCCTCGATCCGCCGTCTCTCGTCCCTCTCCCAAACCAACGGTGACGTTTTGTTCTGCAGGCGTCTGACTCTGAAACACACTCGCACTCTGCAGCTGGAGGAGGACGTCCTGTGTGTGAAGTTGTCTCCTGACCACAGGCTGCTGGCTGTCTCCCTGTTGGACTGCACCGTCAAGATCTTCTACACCGACACGCTCAAGGTACGACCGTGGGCCGAGGTGTGTGCAGTCGCTGTGAGACCAGGCCTGCTGCCTAACTCGCCCCTCTCTCTGTCTCTCTCCTGTAGTTTTTCCTGTCTCTGTATGGACACAAGCTGCCGGTACTGTGCTTGGACATCTCACATGTGAGTACTTTGAAGTCTTTATCTGGTGAGAAGGAGGGCGCCTCAGGCACAGTTTTCCACGTGTTTCAGATAAAATCCCAAAAATAAATCAGAAAGCGAAACAAAAGCACCTCTAATCCCGACGGCCTCCCGTCTCCTGTTTGCAGGACAGCGCGCTCATCGCCACCGGCTCTGCGGACAGAAACGTGAAGATCTGGGGTTTGGAGTTTGGCGACTGCCACAGGTCGCTGTTCGCTCACGACGACAGGTACCGGCCAGCGTTCGCCTGGGCCCGACAGAAAACTGGCGTGTTTTTTCCGCCTCTACTTCCTGTGACCTAACCTGTCTTTTTCTGCTTGTTTTGTCTCGTTTTTGGACCTTTCCCTGATTCGCTCTCCTTCCTTCCAGCGTGATGTTCCTCCAGTTTGTCCCCAAGACTCATTTGTTCTTCACAGCAGGGAAGGACAAGAAGATCAAACAGTGGGACGCCGACAAGTTTGAGCACATCCAGACTCTTGAGGTGAAGCTCCTCTCCATCGAAAATCCTCTAAAATCTCTTTATCTCAGGATTCTGAGACGTCAGCTGATCCAGATGTTTGGAGCTCAGTTCTTGTTGATAAAATCACATCGGGTCATCATGTCTTCTCTCCTACACGCTCCACCTGTCCCCTCTGGACCAAAGGGTCACCATCGGGAGGTGTGGTGTCTGTCCATCAGCCCAAACGGAGACCACCTGGTGTCCTCGTCCCATGACAAGTCTCTGCGCCTGTGGGAGAGAACCAGGGAGCCCATCATCCTGGAGGAGGAGCGGGAGATGGTGAGGGGGACAGCATTTGTCACGTAACCCAATCAGTGTCTCTAACTGAGCTTTTGTTTTGGTTCCCAGGAGAGAGAAGCAGAGTTTGAGGAGAGCATGGCCAAAGGAGATGTGCCCGTGGTGAGTTCAGCAGGGTTTGGAAATCCTCCTCTTCCGGGTTTTCAGCTCCAGCATTCAGCCTTTAGCTGGGCTTTAAGCAGCACGGCGTTTCCTTCTGCAGGTTCCAGGAGAGACTGAAGGACAAGCGGCTCCAGCTGGGAAGAAGACCGTCGAAACAGTCAAAGCTGTGAGTGCCCTTCACCTCTTCTGCCATCAGCGCTGTAGGTTCAGTCACCGAGAAGCAGTGTTGGGAAAGTAACTTTAAAAAAGTAATTAGTTATAGTTACTAATTGTCAAAAAAGTAACTCAGTTATTAACTGAGTTACGAGATTATAAAAGTAACTAATTACCAACTACTTAGTTACTTTTTTCATTAAAGAATGCAAGAAAAATGGGTTAATTGAACTTACTTCATTTACTATAAATGACTAATGACTGGAACATAAAAAAATGTATGTAGAAATGTTTTTTATAAACCTGAATAATTTAAATAAATAAGTACTTAACAGGAGGAACTACTAACAGGAACATTACACTTATCTAGACTATTAAAAGGTCACTGTGTGATATTTAACAAGACCCCGATCAGCTAAAATTTAAAATTGCTAATCGAAACACCTGTAAAGTTTCCCGAGCCTTTAAATGGTCTCTCAGTCTAGTTAAATTACAGAAATGAATGTAATTTTGCACAGCATTTTAATTTTTCCAGTTTCACATAATTGTGTGTTTTAGCAGCATTTCTGTTGCTGCTAATCTAGTAACGGTTAAATAAATAAAATCCTTTAAAATGACACTAGAAGAGGCACAAGCCTGATGGAGGACTTACATTTACTAACTTGGGTCAGACCCAAACACAGAAGAGCTGAAGCTGGGTGGTAAACACACACACAGGTAGTTCTGATAACACCTGAGCTCCATGATGTCTGAGACTGATGCATCAGTGTTACAGCGGGACTAAAGACATGATCAGAAACAGGTTACAGCCGGATGATTTAGGAAGGTAGAAGATCAGGACGTCTGAGCGGCGAACAGGTGAGCGGACCTTCGGGACGTCCCGCTGTCACGCTAAGAAGGACACGGCTGCAGATCCACACCTGCAGCCGTAGATATTCATCACGTCTTCGTTCTTCACGGTCGTGATGCGCTTGGATGAAAACATCTACCTCTTTAGCTCCTTATCAGCTGAAGACAGCTTCAACACACCGCGCTGCTTAACGCACACATTTCCTTATCAGTAACAGAAACAATTGTTTTGTTAAAAGAAGACGGTAATTAATTAGTTTGCTCGTTACAGAAAGAAATATTTTTTTATTAACGCGGTTATTTTAAACGACGTTATTCCCATCACTGCTCTGTTGCGTCTACAGCAGGCAGTGACTGAGACAGTGAGGGTCTCCGCCCACCCGGCCAATCATCATCGTGTTTGTAAGTGCGTTACCGACACCTCTCTCTCCCTGGCTGCAGATGAAGTGTGGCGGTCAGAAAGCCTCACACTGTTGCTCAACGTTCAACAAGCACATAGTAACGCACAGCCTTACGTCCCCAGTAACGGTAACGGCGTTGCAACAGTGGGAAAAGTAATTAATTAGATTATTCTGTTACCTAAAAAAGAACGCTGTTATTCCCATCACTGCCGAGAAGGTTTAGCTTGAAGGTCAGGATCAGGGTCGGGGTGCTGCCGAAACAAAAAGAGACAACAAAATAATCTTCAGCTTAGATCAGTTCAAAAATCAACAATATAATATTTAAATGTGTAGCTTTTAAACCTTTAGTGTGTTTTGCTTTAACTTAATACATACGAGTCTTTGTTACTGTCTCACGTTTTGATGATCTCGCGTGTTTCTGGCATTTATTTTACTTAAACATGACAGAAACAAAGTAAAATATGCTTATGCAAGTAGAATCATCTGATTAAATAACATTTAAATAATACATTCATGTGGACGACAAGCAGCGGTGGTTTAAAAGTCTCCCCTAACCCCCAGTGGGCCATGGCGGACGGCTGCTCACTGATCCTGGTTCAGTTGGAGGTCACTTCCTGTTTAAGAGGAGTTTTCCTCTCCACTGTGGCTACATGCTTGCTCGTGGTCCTTATGAAGGAAACTGGCACCAATGCACTAAGCAGGCTCAGTTCTTGACTTAGTAAAGTGCCTTGAGACGTCTCTCGTGCGTCGGTGCCATATAAATAAAATGAAATGAATTATTTTTGTTTCCGTACGGTCTTCTCGTTTTTATTTAATTGAATTTTATTGACTCATTTTGTGGCATTTTTATGATTCCAGATTAGGGCTGCTCAATTAATCGAATTTTAATCACGATTACGATCTGAGTTTTGAACGATTATAAAAAACAAAACAAGCCGATTATTTGCTCCTCCCGCTTGCGCTGCCCTGAGTTGCAAATGAAGCGCTCCTCCCACAGTGTTGACAACTTAGTGACTGTGACGCTATTTCTAGCAGCTTTTCAGACCCCCTTCTTGACTTTTTAACTTAAAAGTACCTAGCGAACACCTGAGAAACATCTCTGGTAACCCTTAGCTACTTTCTGGATAACTGTCGTCGACGTTTCCTGCAGGTTAGCTAAACACTCCGCCTGCGCGCCGGACCGTTCTTCAGGACATTAGGAAAGGGAATGATGTAGTGATGTGTCAGTCGCTAAAGAAACAGCTCTCGGAGCCGGCTCCCTGTTGGATTAACCAGAGTGAGTGACACACACACACCGCACCTGCGGACTCCTGAGCCGCTAAAAATGGCTAAATGTGCACGTGCGGCGTGCTAAACACACGTGCAGCTTGCCCCGATTGCTGTGAGACCGGTTTGGGGGGTGGGGGGTGCAGCTGTGGTTGGGACAATTATTACATTAACTGATGGACTTGTAAATAAATAGTTTATAAATAAGGTAGAAATAAGTTCCTCACGCTGATAAATAATAACTAATCTCTCTCAGGACACAGTGTTAGTGCACTCCTACAGCACCTTGACACGACTAAATACGTATTATGCAACATTTTGTGAACATCAATTAATTTGCATTTATTTGTTATAAATGCCACTGTATAATTCTTGCTGACAGTATTTGCAAGATATTGCTATTTGGGTCTGTACTAGTTAGACTTAAATGAGTTAAACCAAACCCTTGGGTCATAAACTATGAGCTATAAGTATATTGGTCTTTTTATACTGGGAATCAGGAGTTCTTTTAGTGATCATCTTGTTTCTTATTTTTGTCCTGATTGTGCCCTGAGCAATTTATGACTGAATAAAAACAAATAAAATCAACATAAATTGAAAAATCGTCCTAAATAATCGTGATCTCAATTTCAGTCACCATAATCGTGATTATTATTTTTGCCATAATCGAGCAGCCCTATTCCAGATGTTTAGTTATTTTCTTTTGAGTTTTTTCTTCTACAACAATAACGATGCTACGGTGTGGCGCGTTTGCAGGCAGAGAGAATCATGGAGGCTCTGGAACTGTACAGAGAGGAAACCAGGAAGAAGGAGGAACACGAGTACTTCTGCCAGACAGCAGGAAAACAGGTAGAGACGTGTTTTCACTACCACCTCACTGAGGATACAGGTGTGACCCCCCCCACCTCCGCTGACATCCTGTTTTACCTAAGCTGGGGCATCCAGAGACGCTCACAGAGCATCAGAAGCTTCTGTTCTTGTTCTGTTGCTTTGGTCTGGAGGAGGTTTTGGTGTCATGGCTGTGATTTGTGATGTTTTGCAGCTGCCTCTGCCCAAACCCAACCCCATCCTCGTTGCCTATGGCAACATTACAGTAAGTAGACCAATGCTGGTGTGTTTGTGAGCGTCTGCTTGTAACAAAATTCTGACCGTTCCTGCAGCCATCCCGTTACGTGTTGGACGTCATCAAAAAGGTCCGGTCCAGGTAAGAGGATGTTCCTCAGACTCGACCTTCCCCGTGTTAGTTTGTTGACCTGCCGTCTCTGATGTGACCTGCAGCGAGCTGGAGGTCTCTCTGCTGGTGCTGCCCTTCCACTACGTCCCCGAGCTGCTGAAGCTGTTCAACAGCTATGTCCAGCAGGGCCTGGAGGTGGAGCTCGTCTGCCGCTGCCTGTTTTTCCTCCTCAAGTGAGTCAGCCTCGTCTCTGAATGGCTGTTTGAGGAAACGTTTCCTCTTCATCAGATAAAAACGTGTTATTTTAGTTTACAGAGGGATACATCTTTTTTTTTTTACTTTATGGTAAATAAGTTTTTTTTTCCAGGATCCATTTTGGTCAGATCAGCAGTAACCAGATGATGCTGTCCATCATAGACGACCTGCGGACAAACACACTCTGCAAAGTGTGTGAGATCAGAGTAAGTCACATTGGGCGACGGTGACACAGTAGTAAAGTGCTCGCCCCGTAATCGGAAGGTTGCAGGTTCGAGCCCCACTCAGTCTGTCGCTGTTGTGTCCTTGGGCAAGACACTTAACCCACGTTGCCTGCTGGTGGTGGTCTGAGGGACTGGTGGCGCCAGTGCTCGGCATCCTCGCCTCTGTCAGTGCGCCCCAGGGCAGCTGTGGCTACATTGTAGCTCATCCCCACCAGTGTGTGAATGTGTGTGTGAATGGGTGAATGACTGATTGTGTTGTAAAGCGCCTTGGGGGGTTCCAGGACTCTAGGAGGCGCTATATCAAATACAGGCCATTTACCATTTACACCTGCAGGGAGAACGGGTCCATCCATCCTAAGACATTCCCTCACCCCCTCCTCTGTTTCCAGGACGTGTTGGGCTTCAACAGCGCCGCCCTGCAGTTCCTCCAGCGGGAGATCGAGAGCAAAGAGGACGTGATGTTCTTCGCTGACGCCACGGGCCGATTGGAGGAGAAGAAGAAGAGGAGGAGGAAGAGGGAGAGAGCTGTTCTGACCGTGGCTTAAAATCTTCGTGTTTTTTTTTTTTTTTAGCCTGAACCTCCTGTTTCCTGCAGCCCTAACCCTGACAGGATGTAAATGTGTGTTCAACAGGCTTTATTTCTCTGATAAACTCAGCTTTAGTAAACAAACCATGTGTGATGGAGATTTTCTTTCAGGTGTAAAAGATTAATGTCAAAGCCCCGTTCATAATCAGCACTGACGGCGGACGGCTTTGGTTTAGGCTGCGTTCAGGATCAGAACCTGAGAGCCAGACCACCTGGGGGTCTCTAGAACCGGACCTGGGTCCTGCTAAGTCAGGGAGATAGCTTTACAGCTGCTCCGAGTCTGAGTGGATTTATTACCGAGTTCTGGCGGACGAGAACGTCTCCTAGCTCAGCTTTTCCTGTGAAACTCGCCTTCAGAAAGGGTTCACGCCCACATCAGACACTTCATTTTCTGCTAGTGTGTTTATTTACTGACCGCAGGGCACTTTCAGAATAATAAAACCCACCCTTTAAAACACCTCAGCTCACTGGTCGTGCTTTAATGTCACGGCAGACAAAAACTAAATGAACTGTTTTAAAAGAGCCGTAAAAGGGAAAGAAAGGAGAGGCGGCAAGGCTTTATGAGGCAGGATCTGGTCTCAAAGCTGTAAACGTCTCACCTACCAAAATTCAAAAATTCTTCATCACACACACACATGTGACCGGCGTCGGCACCCGTGAGTCCTTAAAAAGTCTTAAATTGGCTTTTCCAAATTTAAGGCCTTAAAAATCCTTAAAAATGACAAATAATCCTTAAACACAGTTTCCATATGTCTTAAATTACCAAAGACCCAATAAACAAGATTATTTTATTTCTATAAAATTTTGTGAATTTAGTTAGTGTTCAGCATTTTTTGTGTATGATGTTGGAGTAAGCGGAACCGTACACATTCAGCTGGTTGGGGAAGGGGGCTATTTTTAGATGAGCACATTAGCTGGTTAAGCTAGCGGGAGCTTGCGCCATGGAGAAGGGCAAGTTTAATGGTAAATCTAGGAGTTAAGATAGTTGCAGACGAAAAACAAAGAGAAGAAATCAATATGAAAGAAAAACTGATCAAATACAAAAAACTCTGAACCAATGGCTTAGCAGAGATCTTTCTATTTTTGGGTGAAATTTATTGACCAAGTCTGAGGGTGATTTATCCATGTCAATCCCTTTATATCGCTCCAAAAACAGTGAAAATATTAACACTGTTATATACAAATTTATATGGAGAAATAAAACCCATTATATAAAAAGATCCCAGTTAGTCAAAGAACATAAAAATGGAGGTATGAAATCTGGATTTTGAAGCAATGCTGGGAACATTTAAAACAAAGTGGCTGAAAGAATTTCTAATAAAGACAGATACAATTTGGTTTCATATTCCAAAAAACTGTCTTCAAGAAGTTTGGGGGGCTAAACTTTCTTTTGAAATGTGACTTTGAAATCACTTGCCTTTTAAATTATCTGAATTTCACAAACAAGTATTGCATTATTGGAAGATGGTATTTACCCATAACTTTACTCCTCATTGTGCCACCTTGTGGAAAAATCGAGTAATTGTTTCAAACAGAAAGTCTTTGTTTGACCAACAGTGGTTTGATCAAGGAATTATCTTTGTACACGATATTTTGGATAAAGATGGTGAAATACTACAGCTACAGAATTTTAAATACAAATTTAATAACATTCAATGTTCTCTTCAGGAATATAAGAAAGTATGTAAGGCTATACCCGTGATTTTGATACAAATGATAAAAAACACAATGCTCTTCTCTAATGTTCAAATAAAACTTCCTAATTTATTAATAGGAGAATTGAACATCACAGAAAGAAAATGTGAAAATAAATTTTTAAATGGAGCCTTTAAAAATATATATCTATCATGATTATGATAGAAAGATTAAAATAAAAATACCAGGAAATCCAATAATTGAAGAAAAACAATTAAAATTTATAAAATGGCCTATAATGCCCAAAGTAAAAGAAATGCAATTTAAAATTTTTAACAACTACTATCCATCAGCAGAGACACTGAGGAAGAGATTTGGTTTTGGAGTAGACCCTTGTGAATTCTGTAAGGGAAGCCCTGAAGGAACAGAACACTTATTTTTCAGCTGTCATACAAGTAAGAGGCTTTGGGAAGAAGTCCATTGTTGGTTAAGAAATAAAATAAGGGAACTTGATCGTTTTACAAATGAAGATATTCTTATTTACAATTCTGAATTAAAGGGGAATAATTCATTGTTAATTAACATTATTATTATTATGGGTAAATCCACAAAAGCAAATGGAAAAAACAACTGCCAAACATGAACTGTTTCACAAATGAATTTCATATGTTCTTATCCACTTTGACTCGTATAAAAATTCAAATGCAACTGCAAAAGCCATTTGTCATGCTGCAGAAAAATGTTTAATCTTGTAACAATGTTTTTACTTTGTGATATAAGTGCCTCTTTTTAAGTTTCTTATTTGTTTTTCTTTTATTGTTACTAAAGATGCCTTGTATGTTTCCATTATGTGTTGTTGTCTCACGAGAAATTGTAATAAGCATTTAATGATAATAATAAAAAAAAAGTTTAATGGTAACTGGATGGCTAATCCCACGTTCGCGACGTGGTTAGCACCGTTTCCAGGCAATAGCTGGAAATTATAGCTTAAATTAATTTTTAAAAACAGCTTAAATTTGGTCAAAGTGGCCTTAAAAAGTCTTACATTTGGCTCCTTAAACCTGCAGATACCCTGGTTCTAATCCTGAATTGGGATTAAAAGAGAGAGAAAAAAGTCGATCTGTATCTGAGCTTCATGTTAATCTGCTTTAAATGTGAAATTTAATCTGTAATGAGAAAATCTCACTTCTGTCTTGTTCCAGGGACCCTGGTCTTGACATGAGTCAGTTAATGCAACTTTTCAGCAACATCAAGCCACTTCACACGCGTTTCCTCACTAGGTGGCAGCCTCACCCTTTGTGTGTCAGACGGGTCCAGGGTCAGCACTTCCGCACCTGCTGTGGGGCTCAGCTTTTTTTTTTTTTGCAGAAAAGCATATTTACATCACAAATAAGGCAAACATGCCAATGTATTCAGATGAGAATCGAACAGTCAGTGAAAAGGGGGAGGACAAAGAAAAAAAAACAGTGCAAGGGACCACTACACAGTTCCAGGAAGTCTACACAACAGTCTATACATATCTTCATAGCTGTTAGTATTGATACATTTAAGGGATCTTAGATACAATCTAAAATCATGTACAAATGCATTAAACACAGGGGGTGATTTCAGTATTTTTTGTTTTTGTATGAAGAATTTTGCCAGACAGAGAAGTAGATTGTAGCAGAGTTCTTGGTTGTTTGTTTGAAGGAGAGTTCCAAAGGTGACGACATCTCTTGAAATGGGACATGGGATTCCACTCTGAGGTTGAATCCAGTTTTCAAAACAGTTCCAAAACGTCCGTGTCTTGTTGCATTCAAAGAAAATATGATCAGTTGTTTCAACATCCTTCCCACAAAAGGAACATGAGTTATCATCAATGTTAAAACGTTTTCTGAGAAGTTCCTTTGAGGGATAGACATTGTTTAAAATTTTAAAATGTGTTTCTTTGACTTTAGGTTGAACAGGAAGTTTTAAATAAAGAGTCCTTAGTTTAATAATGGAGCTTTTACCAAATTTGTAAATTATGTTGTTCTTGTTGACTTTACAAGGGTATAGTTGATCAGTAAAACACCGTCTAATAAATTGGTCGGTACACTTTTTATCCATAAGGGGAATACCTTGGATGGAGATAGAACCATACTGTGGATTTATAGGTTGGTGTTGAATAATGTTTCTGTACTGGAAGACCACCCCTTTAGGAAGCGCTATTAATAATTTTATAAAATCAGATTTAGGAGGGCTAAAGTTATATTTAAGACAAAATTCACCGTACCCTAGTAGTTCACCATTATCTTTCATCAAGTGTACAACAGACCAAATTTTCCTATTCATCCAATCTTCATAAAATAGCTACCTATTACGGCATAATACATATTGTTCCAAATTATAGAAGAGTGAGGGGAATAATTATGTACATACAACAACTTCCAATACATTAGTACTTGTTTGTGGAACTCTGATAATTTTGTGGGCAGTTCGTTTATATCAAAATCTGACAACAGTAAAATTTTTAGACCACCCATTTTGTTAAATATATGACTTGGGATAGAATACCAGAAAGCGTTCGGATTCTTGAGCCATAGTTTTAGCCAATTAATTTTGAGTGTTCGAATTTGATGGGAATGTTACAAATTTCTTTTAGAGGGGAGTCATGAATAGCCAATAGTTCGCATTTTTTCAAATTTAGCTTAAGCCCACATGCTGCAGAGAATAGCTTTATTTTATCAATAGCAATAGGAATTTGTTTATATTCTTTTGAGAAAAGCGTGGTGTCATCCGCTAATTGACTTATGATCAACTCTGTGCCAAGGACGTTTAACTTTTTTAGATCCACACAGTTTTTCAAGTAGATTGCTAACATTTCACTAACTAATATGAAAAGGCAAGGAGAAATTTGGGCAGCCTTGTGGTATGCCCACAGAGACATTGAACCTGGGGGTGGAACCTCTGGGTAATGAAACACAGCTGCTGATATTCCGATACAAACCTCTGGTTAGATTAGTAAACTTAACTCCAAAGCCAAGGTGTTCTAGAACTGAGAAGATAAATTGGTGTTCCACTGAATCGAATGCTTTATAGAAATCTAAAAATAGTATGAAACCGTCATCATTTATCATATCACTGTATTCAATAATATCCATTACCAGTCTTATATTGTTGTGAATAGATCTTCCTTTTAAAAAACCCGACTATGTTTCCGAAACAATATCTGAAATTCCAGATTGAAGACGTATCTTGAAAATGTAAGTCAGAAGTTTATAATCTGTATTTCTTAGGGTAATTGGTCTTCTGTTTTCAATAATCCTATGGTCTTTATCTGCTTTTGGAATTGATATTATTACACCGTGTCGCATTGTAGGAGGGAGATCGCAGGAATCAAAAATCTCTGAGAAAACACCCAACAGTAAATCTTTTATTTCTTCCCAGAAATGATGGTAGAAGTTGGCTGTAAGTCCATCTGAAGCGGG